TTCAGGTAAATACTGGAGTGATTCGAAGTATCGCCCAGCATCAGCTCCGTTTCGCCGTTTCGCCTTTTCGGGCTGGTGTTACATCTCCTGTTTTCTGAACCATGTTTTCTGAACCTTCCTCAGTTTACGGTGAGCCCCAGCTACCTGGGAAAAGCAGCCTACGGCCTGTCTGGCAAAATCCAGGTCAGTGGCAAGACTTTTGATATTGTTTGTTCTCCCTCGCATTGTGTACAACCTTTAGCAAGAAGAGCCGACACCCACCCACACATGCACAGACTCGGGCACCTGGTTCTTCAAAGTGACCTTTTGATAACCTGGTTTGAGGTCACTTAAGCATCCTAAGGGTCACTTAGGAACCTTCAAAAGGTCACTTTGAAGAAGCTGGTAGAGCATATTTTTTTAAGATAACTATACTCTTGCCTCACCTCCTTCAGCTTTTCAAGACTATGTTTGGCCAATTTTGCAGATCACCAATGATCACCAGACTTCTCGAAGTCGATATGCCATGGCCGCGCATGAATTCCTCCCGCGCTGTGCGTCCGCCCTTCCAGGAACATCGTGGCGCCTCGAAGATGGAGTTGGACCGTCACCGGGGGGGGTCCCGACCCGACTGACGCCTAGACGCTGGGGCGGTCTTGGTGGTCTTGATCTGATTGCCCTTCCGCAGTAGCGGACTGATGTTGCAGTGGGCTTTTGACATGTAACTGTATTGTTTAACTGAACTGAGTGATGCTTTCTAATTATTGTTTGACCTCTACTTGATGATTGGTCTCACTGACTCACTCATTTTCTTCAAGTGAACCAGTTAGATGTTGTTTTGGGGGGGCCGGTGAAGCTCGTCATTCAGGGGTCAATGATGGTCAATGCGTGCCTTCAGGTGTGATCTAAGCCTTTGGGTGTGCATGGCCCATGCCTGCGCATGCGTGGTCTCCGAAAGTGAAATCGTCAGCCTTCGGGCCATTGTTGCGCCAACGACGTTTCACCACATTGGGAAGACGGCTTTCTGATCTTGCGATACGGTAGATGTCCAGAAAAAAACATGACTGATGTGTCATGGTATCACGGTATAACATGGTATAACAACATGTGGCCATCTACCTGGCAGGTCATGTGCCAACTGGTGTGCCGCCCAGTGAATCAACCTGAGGTGCACCTGTTGTTCCACTTGATGTGCATTTGGTCCATCGCCTTCAGAGCCGCTGGGTATTGGCACTGGAGAGAGCTCGTTGGGCATGGGGAATTGTTGGTTGAGGGGAACAGCTGAGGTTCTGCTTGATGGATGCCTAATTAGTGACCTGCGTGACCAAGCGGATGTGAACTGTTCCCACCTATCCCAGAAAAGATATGTTCCAATTTTGATGGGGTGGTTGACTAGGATCAACGCAAGTGATGCATTGTTCTAGATGTAACAGTCCCCGCACTAGTGGGGTTCGCAAGACATCCTCTTTTTGATGCCAAAGCCAACTGGATCCTCCACAGTTTTCTCGAAAATGGGTCATGCCCCTATGAAAACAGGTACGTGATTGTACTTGAATACCCAGTTTCTGAGGTACAAACAGGTCGGCTCCAGGTACATGGACTTTTTGAAGAAGGCCTCATGCTGAGTCTTCCAGCCTCTTTGCGCGCGCACGAGCTCCAGGCCTTGTTCCTCTTTCAGCCCGCGCGGCGGGTGACTCCCGGTAGCCGCTCGGCTGGTGTACATGACAGATGAGATTCAGATGGCACAATCCTCAAGCTTGGCATGACGACTTAAATGATCCAACAAAGAAGTATTGAGATGTATTGAGGGCATAATACTTGGATTACTTGGCTTTTGTTTATATGAACCCCCATTTTAAAGACATTTGGGGGGTTGTGCCATCTACTCTGAACTGAAGGTGGTTGACTCAATGCTTTGCAACACATCACATACATTTAGTTTCTGGCTCGCCAGGAGTTCAGAGAAGAGATAACCACAAATTGGCCACAGATCATAAGATCATGGACAGGTTTTGAACCCGAGGTCTTTTAGCTCATTTGTTGCGGCAAATTGAGGGATGGCCGCCAGTGGGATGGTAAGAGACAACAGCATGCAGAAAACAACAAATACACAATCTTTAGACTCCTAGACCATCCATGTATGAAACATTACCTACACATCGATCCTTAAAGCATGTTCACCCCAATGTAGGCAAATATTCTGGTGGGAGGTGGGTGGCGGTCCATGTTTGTTTCATCAGCAGTATAGGACCAGGAGAGCCTGTGAGTTGCTGTGTCTAGAATTGCCATAGTTCCTCTGAGGCTTTGTCAGAGTCACGCCACACGCGAACAAGGGCAAGGCGGACATTTGCTTAGTGCACGAGTCGGAGGCGAGAGTGTCGGAGTCACTGTGTAGCCGCGGAGCCGCACATTCAGTAAAATGTAATTGAGAAAGGCCTAATAAGTATCGAAGAACCTCACAAGAACCGTGAACCATGTTAGCATAGGGTGGAACCGAGTGTTTAACATGTGCATGGGGGTTGTTTTGCAGCCTTACAGCAGTCGAAGATGTCACCGTTGGGTAGAAGGGTTGGGAAGAAGTTCATCGATCGGATTCCACCAATGATCGGATTGCCAGGAGTTCTGAAGTTGTTTCGATTGGATTCCGAAGGTCTTCAGTGGATGATGTGCTACCCCGAAAAGGCCCCAATAGTCGGTATACTGGCATCCCCCTTTTGGACTTCCTGGTGTGTCCCAATAGAATCTCGGGGATGCTTTGGGAAGAAATGGTCGAATCCGGCTGCGCTGCTCGGCGGCCACTCCTCTCCGGCGACATGAAAAAAAAAACACGAGGCTCCGAACGCGTGGTTCGCCAGGTGACGCTGAACTGCCACTTCAAATTCCAGCTGCCTGGCAGAAGGGGCGTACGGCTTAAGGGGCGTTGAATAGCGTACTCTCCCTGGAGCTAAGAGATGGAAGTTGAAAGCCACCTATTTGTAGAGGAAACTCACCTTCCAAGGGGCCATTGTCCACGTAACCATGTTAGCTCCAGGACTCCAGGGAGTGTATTGCTTTCTGTTCCTCCTCCTCATGTTGCCTCATCCTCATGCTCACAGTCGTCATTACTTTGGGGGATGTACATGGGCACACTCACCAACCCAATCTATTCCCCCCCAAAGGACCCCTTTTCCGGTGGATCTTGGCCGATTTTGGAGTGGATCTTGGCCGTCGCACATTGGGAAGCTGGACGGGGGACGGGGGGGGTCATATTATGCCATTTTTGTCCAAGTGGTCACTCTCTTTGGGAGCGATCCAAGGGGCTGGACGGATTCGAGGGCAGAGGGAAAAGCGTCGTCGTGGTCGCTCCTTTTGGATCGTTTTGGTGGGCTTCGATCATTCCCAGGCCATCCATGTATGGAATAGTGACATACCTATCCCTGGGGGTCCAGTCGTACCGAACCTCAGGTACGGTGAGGACGGAGACACTCTTATGTGGGTTTTGAGGGTCCAGCCGTACCTTCTGAGAAGGTACTTGGATCCCTAGGGTATGCTTTAAATGATGACCCTAACATACGTCACTATTCCATAAAATGGATGGTATGGGACTGGAAAGCCCTGGGTGGTTTGTCACATGACCTCTACGGATCAGCGCTTGACAGGGTATGGATCCCTAGTGGTTGCACACCCTCACCGTCCAAATCGGAAGATCTCTTGAGTACTTCCTGAACGTGCGCTTTGACCACGCCATCCCGCCCTCCCCGCCTGGATGTCACTGGATCTTGACACTGGATCTTCACAGGACCTTCACAGGACCCGTGGAACTGGTGCTTTCAGCATGTCTTCGAACGGAGCGGCGGCAGGTATCAAAACTTCGAGTTCGTCGACGCCGGGGTCGAGGATGCGGAGCTACTGGGCGTGCCGTGGGCAAGCAAGCGAACGAGAGGTGGAGGGGGGGGCGGTTGGAAGTCAATGGAGTTTTGCATGGTTTCGGTCTTTCGGCGATTTTGGGGGATCATGTTGGGAGGCTAAGCCCTGCAGGTATCATGTTACGAAGCCCTGCAGGGCCAAGTCGTTTTGCCGGAGCACCCGATAGCAATCTGCAATCCAAGCTGAAGCTGGAAGCGAGGTGAATGATCAAAGAACTACCTTGAGGTTCTCGACGGTCGAAGTTGGTCGAAAGGTCCTGCCATTTCCCCCACTTGCCTGCCGACCTCATCTTCTCCACCCACCTCCCAGCTCCGGACCCCGGCGGTTGCACGGGACCGCCCAATCCACCAAGGATGTGGACCTTCCAGGCGTGGGACGTGGGGTGCGGAGGTCCAAGGGGGCGGGTGCTGAAGGTCCAAGGAGACGCTGCGCTGCGCTGCTGGAGCCCTACAAACTCCAAGTACCCCAAGGTCAGGTAGTCAGGTGGGTTTGTCCCTCACATGTCTCATGTCCCTACCTTTTGAGGATCCGGGACCAGAGTCCTAGACAGACAGTGTATGTCACGTACCATACTCTACAGGTCTTTTGCTTCGAGGGTTGGGCTCTCAAGTGGTGACTCGGCAGCGAGGGTGCTTGTAGACGGTTGATGAATAACCGCAATAAATCGCAATAAACAATAATTGGGTTTGTCATGGTTTGTCCCATTACCTGCAAACAGTCAGCAAACAATTATATATTTGAACCTTTACTACCTAGGGTTCCAAGTACCTCCGCAGATGGTATGACTGGACCCTCCTGGCACCCGGGCCCCGATCCCACCTTGGAAACGAAGGTACTTGGAGCTATATGTGGTAGGTCGAACAAAGTTTCAGAGGTCAGTTGATATAGGTCCATCTTACCATCAGCCGTCTCGGAGGGAGGTTTGTACCTGGGCCATGGCTCAGATGATGTTTGTATTTCCCAGAACTGGTTCAATCCCCGAACCTGGGGAATATGTATAGCTTTTTTCCAGGTGCCTGGACAGCAAATTCAAGTTTATTGCACCTTTGGTTCAAGAGGATGACAGCATTCACCACCGTTTCAGTTTCAGGCCCCTCTATATAGCTTAGAGAAACATGATCAACGAGGGCTATGGCGGCTATGGTGTGGGGTTGCACGAGAATCATGGAGACATGGATGGCCAAGCTGCTTCAGTTTCCAAAGATGAAGACAGCAGGCCCACACACGATAGTGAGGCTACAAGCAAAGATAGCGAGTTGTCAAATACAGACGAGTCTGAGTCCGCAAGTGAAGATACTGATTCGGATGTGTCTTGCAAGGTTGAAGACATTGAAGATGTGCCCACTGTGAGCCTGCAACATCTACGACAAGCAGATCCGACAGCTGTAGAGGTCACAGCCAGTGCTTTGAAGCATCACGGCTTTGCATGGCTGGACGTTGGAAGCGACAGATCGATGGAAACTCCTCACGGATCAACAGGCGCTGTGGGACTTTCCAACTCAAGTGCTTTGCTTGCCGAACTCGAAGACTTTTTGACCAAGAACGAGCGCCAGGGCAGTCCACATGTCACTGGATTTTGCAGATCATGTTGATGTTCCCTATGTGTGAACCCATTCCAGGAATGAGCGTTTCTTTAGTGATCGGCGTGCCCTTTTAGAAGGCTGACATACAAGGCTGAAACGCTTTCAAGAGCGGTCACTGACATACACCCCCTGAAGTAGTCATGAAAGCGGACACCTGTATTATACATGTTTGTAGAGCAAAAGGGTCACCCAAGAAGCCATTTTGCGATCTTCCATGCTTCTTTCATGCCCTAAGACTCCTTGGTCGGACCGGACTCGTTTGGCGTCCGGGGCCGAACCAAAGCCTATTTGTTTGAGGGCCCGGATTCTTAGGGTATATAATGGGTCAAGACAGGAAAAATGTTCGGCACAGCCTCCCAAGATGGCGATCTGAGATCATCAAGGGAGGAGTGTATACAATTAATAGTTGTCTTCCAGTTGGTCTCGGCTTCCGCCAAGCCCAAGGCCATGCAGGGGCACTTCAGTGCAGCACACAAGGATGGGCTTCGCATCGTGACCGGCTCGTATGCCGAGAATGACTTGCAGTTGCCCAAGACTGTTCAAGAGAAGTTGACATGCTTGGCCTTGGAGCTGGATGAAGCACAGAAGGATGTGATCCAAGCACTGGCACATACTTTGCAGTATCGCAGCGCTCAAGATCTTGGGGAGCGTTTAGATATCCCTTTGCTATGCCCTGAGCAGGGTCGTTTGCGCCCTTATGGCCTTTTGGATGTCGTCCGGTACCACGCGAATGGTCCGGAAGTGGTGGTAGCTCCTCATGTAGATCCGGGCCTGCTGATCTTAAGCTTGCCACCTGGTTTGGCTTTAGTATGCAATGATTAGTCTAAGTGGCCACCTGTGCGATCCTCCCCAAAAAAAGGTGAATCCCTCAAAGAGATCTTGCTGTTTTCATATTCTTTTCAGATGTTCCTTCACATCTAAGGCCATGTGCTGTTCCTGGCTTAGAGCTGAAGGATGCCTCTGGATCATGGCGTGCCGTTCCACCTGGCCTTGGTGTGCTGTGGGCTGGACAGGCTGCAGCTGGGTGGAGAGGTGGCCTACATCGTGTGAAGGCTTCGCCGGCTCCACGCTTCAGCGCTTGGCATGAACTGTGCAGCCGTTCGCAGTTGTGCCCTCCCATGCTTCAATTCCTGGAGGAGAATGCTTTGGAACTGAAGTTGGGAGACACGCGGGGGACTCCAGCAGTCTTGGCTTTGTTGCAAGAACATGAAGATCATCTCAATGTGAACATGCTGCAGCGTCGTGGGGTGCCGGTGGGAAAAGCTCCTTTAGCCTTGCGCCGAGCACGCCAGTTGTCGTGGCAGCGGTTTCGGCCTGACCAGCCTCCACGGGTTTGGAGGCGCCCGATGGTGTGGCCCAAACTGCCCCGTGGATCCGTAGAAATCGTGCCCCAATCCTGATCCTCCCTTCTTATGCGGTGGCATGTGCAGCTGCCACTGGATCAGCCACACTTGTTTTGGGTGCTGGGTCATGTACAGAGACCCTGCAGCATCGTACGAGATCGCAAGTGCGGAAACTGGAGCTGGCATTCGTCTGGCGCGCTTGGGTTGAGGAGCGCGATAGGGTCATGATGAGCAAAGGTAATGCAACCGCATGGTGTGGTCTAAAGACATATATACACCGGTGATGTATTGAAGTGGAATCTGCCAGGCAGATTCATGCAGATTCAATCCTTTTCTTGACATGAGCGATTTCAACCAGCGAATCTTCGCTGGTCTTGGCAGGGTTGGTGGTTGGTCTGAGTCTGCGCCTGCCTGAGCAGCATGTTTCTTGCCTGAGCTGCCGGGGCAGCAGCCGAGGTTGGTTTCCGGGGTCCGGGGCCGCTCCGTTGGCGTTCCGCACGTCCACAGCGACGGAGGCATTCATCTCATCCAGTGCCCCACCAACCAACCTTGGCGCAGCTACAGGGACTCTGAAGGCGAGGTGGGATGTGGTGCCGGGGTGTGGTGAGGAAGGAGCATGAAGGAATCAACACTTGCCAATGCTTTTGGGATCCGATTTCACCACAGGTCACACCTTGCAAGTCTAAAGCTCTGACATCTGTGACTTGAGGCTTGCCAAATGCTTGGAACATTGGGACATGCTGGGACAGTGCGTAACGGGCCTGCTAGGGCCTGCTAGGGCCGGCCCAAGGACCCTATAGGGGTGAACGGCATGCTGGATGGAGAAGTCCTATGTCGTTGTGGATGCAGGAACACCATGGAACACCTAACGCCCAGCTTCTTCAGTTCGTGACCGTCCCATCCAGTGACCGAACTGACCAGGGTTCCGTTGGTGACCGTTTCCTGTTCATCCGGTGGATGAAGTTCGGTCGAGAGCCAGGGTGAAGGACAGCAATCCAAGTTCAGATTTTGGTGTGCGACCTCAGCAACAGGCTCAGCAAGATGCTCAACATTCTGCAGGTCTTTGGGGTCCTTGTTGGATCTTAAGTAGCAAATAGCAAAGAATCGAGTGAGTTGGATTAGAAACCCTACCACGCGAGCTTCGCCATGCCACTTCACGACGTCATGTGGCCTTGTTGGACGTCGCCAGCCGAGCTTCGCCAGCTGAATGAGCCTCCAGGAGCTCTAGGTGGTTCATTCTTGGAATGGATCCAAGACCAAAGGGCTTCTGAAGCGCTCCCCAAAAAACGAACAGAGAACACAAAGGAAACTTTTGCTCCCAAAAAACAGGAGCAAAAGGGAACTTCTTCCCATCTACTCCCCCCCCCACACAACGAACACCTGCAACATCAACTGGAGCATGGACCTCCTGTCACCGTCCCACCTCCTTACCCCACTCTCTTCCAGCTGAACCGAGCCCATGGGCAGCCTCTCCTTCCGCGCTCACCCGCGCGCGGCCCTCGGCCTCTTCGTCGGCCTCGGCCCTCACCTGGGGGGGGGGCGATGGTGGCGCCGGAGGTGTTGACTGGTGTCTTGAGGAGTTGTGTGGCCTGGCAGGTTTTTCGCAAACAGGTGACGGTAATGCAACCTGGGTGTGCCCTAAGTATATTATAGTATATTATATATATATATATTATAATACATGAAACAGTCAGAAAGCACTAGTCAGTCAAGTCCTTTTTGTACATGAGAATGACTTGCAAACTAACCATCATCGTCCACTGTGACTGGTAATGGGATATACTGATATACCCAAGTAGGCCCAAGTAATGCGCCAGCAGTTCCATGGAGTTAGGTGCCTGAAGGATAAGAGCGTCCAGAGCATCTACGGACTAAAAACCCTTCCTCTGGAACTGGTGGTTGGCATCAAGCTTTGCATTAGAGGGATTTGAAGTAGAGGGCATCATGTTTTCCAGTTGCTGACGAATGAAACTTTACTTAGATACCAGTAATGTAGACCCTTATCTTGATCAAGCCCTTGAGACATGGATTGTAAAACCTCTTCAGGCTTGAAGGCTTGAACTCTAATCAAGAGTCTTCATGGGTGTAGGGAGCCCTGGAGATTTGGACATCCTCCTTGAGCTTTCAACCAACATTATACTGTAGTAGTTATGGATAGTCTGAAGTCTCAGTTCGTACCTGAGAAAATGGGTACAAGTATTTGTTTTGAGACGGTCATGTCCCATTTTCTAACCTAGTTTGGAGGGTCCAGGTAGTTATTGCATTTATGAAGGCCAGGTTGTTTGGGTTCGACGTTGTTGGAGCCGAAGACCTTTGAGAAGATCTGCTTCGGCTCAAAAAAACCTGACATCTGGGGCCTTTGGGAGGCTGACATCGCCCTCAAACACGGTTCTACAAACTAGAGCTAACATAGGAGTGTTCCAATTCAAAGCTCATGCTACTCACCAGGAAGCATTCCGAGCGCCCGCAAGCCATGAACTAAATGAGACTCAGCCACCCTGGTTCCCTGATGAAACCAAGTCCAAGCAAGTCTAGTAACCTGCGGCTGTTGCTTATCTCAGGTGGAAGATGATAACTTCTTCACCCAGGAGCTTCGGACACCGGTGCAGTACGCTGCGCAGTCCACAGAAGTGGCCTTGGCACCGGCCTTGTCCGTGATGGCGAGGGCAGTGTTGTGCATCTCGTGGGTCGTGTTCAGCCACTGAATTCGTTTTATGAGGTTTTTGGATGTTTCATGTGTGTTTTTCTATCTATAGTCGGGGGGGGTGCTCTATAAATTAGGTGGTGCTGGTCCTTTTTTATTTTTGGAGTGTTCTGTTGCGGCCGCCCTCCAAGGCTGCGCGGCGCAGCCCAGCAGCGGCATCGAAGTCTACACGGGCCAGGGCTGGCTTTCGGCGGCGATGGCCGAGGGTGCGCAGAGGGCGGCGGAACGACCCGCAAGAGCTCCTTGGCTGAGAAGAGAAGGTATGGCATGGAGTCGTGCCTTCGTTTCGGTTGGGACTGGGGCATGGGTGGAAGCCTGGCAGAGATTGGGCACAAGCTTCAAGTTTTCTTGCAGGTGACCTGAAACCAAAGGTGGCTGACTCTTTGTTGTTTTTAATGTTTTTTGATATCCTTCGATTTTTTAGAAACATGGAAGTGGATGATGGCCACTTAGAAGGTGGGCTGGTCACTGGTCGAAACAGAAGCCCCCCCAATGCGCCCATGTGCAGCTTGGAGGGAGGTGCCAAGCTCCTCCAAGCTCCCACCTCTTGTGCTAACCAAGCAGCTTGGTAAGTCCAAGCACGATGGCAGTCACGATGGCTACACATCCGTCCCTTAAGATCCCCTAGGGCTCCAGTCGTACCTTCGTTTCGAAGGTGGTCCAAACACCTTCTGAGGAGGTACGACTGTAGCCCAAACAGGCCTGAGAACGCCAGGCTGGATCTTTTTGTCTCAGCTTCTCGGCATCGCCCGCACCTCAGGAGCTTTGCCAAGTGGAGAGGCCCTCGGGGCCGCCGTTGCTGTTCACCTTTGAGGGCCAGATGAAATCGAGCCTTGGCGTCGACCACGGAGCGATGTGAGGTTGACCAACCAGCTTCTTCAGTACGTGACCTTTTGAAGGTTCCTAAGTGACCCGAACAGGAGGCTTAAGTGACCTCAAACCAGGTCACCAAAAGGTCACTGAGAAGAACCAGGAAGAGGGGTTATATTGATAAGTGACTCTTAACATATATAACAGACAAGGCCGAACATCTGGGGTAGCGATGGGAGAGTCTATAAATAGTTTTTTTTGGTTTGCGTTTTCTGGTCCTTTCAAATCGGATTCGGAGGTGTTATTTTGGGGGTTTCCCGCACTGGGTGCTTCATTCCCTTTTGGTTTCTGGGAAAACAGGTGTCCAACTTTTTCCCACCCGTTTGGGCTCCAGTCGTAACTCCTCAGGTTCGGTGGTATTCGACCCCCCAAACCACCCACCCACCCCTGGCCCATCTCCTCAGAAGGTGGTTGGAGGTGTAGGGTCAGAAGTGTTCTTCCAACTCTGGGATTTGCGATCTGTTCTGGGTGTCCCGGCTGGATTTGCTCATCTATGTCGTTGTTTTCAGTGATTCAAGGTGAGTTGGTTGGTGGTCCCTTTGGGGGTGGGCACTGGCAATCAGGAAAAAGAGGAACACAGCGGATGTCTATGCTATCCTTCTTATTTCTGGAATAATGTCAAGAAGCATTGTCAAACCCACAAAGTTGCAGAACAAACATCTCCACATCCAAGTTCACATGGCATAATACGTGCATCATTCTGCACATCGCAGTCACTCGCGGCAGACGCATCCTCCGGGCCTCCTGTTTCTCCGAGGATCGAAGACCTGATGTCGCGCGTCCTGCCTCTGCCCAGCTTTTGGCTGCCCACCATGCCCATCTCCAGTCTCACCACGCGCCTGCAGCGCGCCTACCGAAGGGCGACGATGCAGACGTCCGCGGACGTCCCTGACGACGCGGCCGACGCGGCGATGGATCCGCGCAGTGCGTTGGTGGCGCTGCATGGCTCTGCGTATCCCAGCCAGTTACTTGGTTACCTTGGTGGTGGTTTCGGAGATGTGATATGTGTTTAATTCTCTTACTTGGAAAGTGGTGGACTTGTTACTTCTAATCTAATTTCAGTGTTAATTGTTCAACCCTTACTTGGGATGAACCCATATTTGCCGTTCGTGAGTTGAACGTTGAAAGCACCGTTTGCAGCTAGGCTCTGTCCCCGGAGCTGCCGGCGAGCAGAGGCCAGCGGGATTTTTGAGAACATCTTGGAGCCTGGATAGGATGGAGATAGGGATCCTGGTGAGGTGGGAACACTTTGAAGGATTGGTGAGTGGTGCGTTGGTGGGTGTGCATTAAAACAAGGACAAGCCTCCAGTTCAATTCGGCCCCCCTCAAAGGGGAAACTAGACCAAAACCCGTATACGTATCCCTATGAAATAAGGACACATTTGCACGACATAGAGGTTTCTTTGAGAGCATGAGAGCATGCGCTAAGCACCCATGTGAGCCAGTTACATGCACATTGCAAGTCCACAACGACCACACACACATCACCTGATAGATGGAAAGCAAGTTTGCATGTTTTGGCCAAGTGCTGGCCGACCCGAGGAATGCTTTCGTTGCCCTGAGCCCACCAAGAACCAGAGCGCTCTGCGAAAGATCTGCGAAGACTTCTTAGTCGACAGGCGATGACTCGGAGGGCAGGAATTTGGTCAAAGGGCTTTGGACGTCGATTGAAAGCAGAACCTGCATGTCAGTAGAGCAAATGGTTCATTGACTGCAGGATGCATGAATTCCTGCATGTATGGCAGTTACAACCGTTTCGATAGTTTGTATACTTCCAATTTGTTCAGGCATCCTTCCAGCTGTGGCATCTTTGTTTATCTCAGTCCTTGAAACTTGGGAAGTTTACAATTAACCCCCCCACCATGCATCTTTGTTTACCTTCCAAGTGTAAGAACTTCAGGGACCTACTCCTACTCAGTAACTCCCTTTTAAGCATGCTTCGCTCAAATAGACCGTACCGACCCCAAACATTCCGGCCAAACACCACCGCAACCCATCATGCCCATCACGTCATGAGGCGCTTAGAGTTGGCCATCGTGGATACTGGGGGACCTGGATTGGAGGAATGGTTCGTGCTGGAAGCCTATTGCCGACGCCTGGTCGAACACGAGATGGAGATGGCATGGCCCGCATTGGGGTGGCTTCATTCGGAGATACCTTTGAAGGGATTTGGACTGGAGGACTTGCCTAGACCCTTTTTATTCCTGATGTGTAGGGATTCTTGGATTTCTTGGGTTTTTTGACATGTGGATCGCTTGAACCTTGGATGTCCAACCTCGACAGCATGACCTGTATTTCAGATCCGAGCACCCAACGCTGCGGCTGCCTCTTCGACGGGCGTCGGGCACCCGTCGTCACCCGCACCGTGAACTGACTGGCTCGCGTTTCGACGACCACGCATCACCACGCGCGCGCGCGCGCTCGTCTTCGAGGCCCACGGAGCGTCTTCGTGGTGAATACCGCCTTCGCGCTGCACGAGGGTTGGATCCTCGAACGTCTGCGGCGTTCGCGCGGCGCGCGGTGGCACGAGGCGCTGCGTGGTCAAGTGCAGTGGGGTGCCGGGTGGCCTCAGATGCTCGGAGACAGCGTGGGTTGGGTGGCGTTGGGGAGATGGTGGGGTGTTTCTTTTAGATTTTAGGGAAGGGGGAGAGTTGTTGAAAGTCAAGAGCGTGAAAAGGACCTGGTTTAGGACACTCAGTCATGGAAGACCTTGTTCATACATGTTCATACACCCATGTTCATACATAGGAATGTTGTTGGACTCAGGATTGAAGTTCTTTTTTGCATGAAGCCTATGTATATCATTTAATAAAGACAATCGTGCATTTTGGCTGACCCAGCATTGAAATGGTTTTACGAATCCACCAGAGGGGGACTCCGTACACCCCCGCGCACATGAGGATGCTGAGCTTGGTGGAAGAGACTGGCTGGAGCTACTGGGTGAACTTTGAGGAATGAGACCCGACTTGACCCGACCCTCTGACCTAGAAGGGAGAGGAGACTGAGTCTTCAGGCCGGGTTCGGGTGTGAGGCAGGGGCCTTGGTGAGACTGAGTCGAGGCCTGAGACATTCGGCCGGGTGACCCATTGGGGGTGTGAGTGAGGCAGGGGCCGTCTGGTGGTCCATGGTTTGTTTGGTTCACCTGTTTTTGTCGATTTGCTCTTGCATTGCTCTCTAATTTATCCTATAGTTTGCTGTTTTTGATGTGTGCTTGTTTTTTTTGTTAAAGGGAGGTGCTGCATGGTGAGGAAACTGTGGTTCTCACCTGAAAGCGCATTCACAGGAGCTTTCAGGTTGGTAAGAGTCAATATGCCTTAATGGGTCAATAAAATCGCTTCAAGGAGATGTTTAATGAAACAATGCGGAAAACAACAAACATGTACAACCTATCAATCAAAAGCACCTTTGTCCAATGAACCTTGGGCCTGCTGGGCCTGTGCAGGGTGTTGTGATCTCCTACCCCTTCCACCCCTGCAGGTGCGGGCTCGAACGTGGCTGAGGACCTCTCAAGCGACCTGCACATCCAACTCCGGTGCCGTATGTCGCGGCGACGATGGGACCCGGACCGAAGCCGCTGGAAGCATCCCCTGTCGGCCGCTAGACTGGAGAAGCTCAAGGAACTTTAGAACTTTGGGGGTGGACATATCTCGCCGATTTGGACTGTGAGCCGGAGCTGGAACTGTGAAATTGGCATGTGGAAGCTGATGATGACATCGAAAAGTCCAAGATGGTGATGGAACCTGAAGAGAATATGGTGAAACACCTGGAAGCTGAACGACCCCCCTTGGTGCTATACCTGATGCCAAGCCAAATGTATATATGAATATGGCCTTTTCCGTGTCAGGTGTCGTAGGGGACTTGTGGATAGGTTGAGGGTGCTGGGGAGTGTCGCATTTGTTGCCAGTGTCCGGGTCGTCCGGGTACAGGCTGGATTGGCATCCGACGTTAAAACTGCCATAGGGCGATAGCCCATCATACTGCATGTATACCATGACTTACGACGTACTGGCTGACTGTACAAACTCAAGCCTTCCTCAAGAGAAGCTACTCAGCTACTCTTTGCCGGAGAGCTGTACTTGTGGATCACCACAAGGATTTGCTTTTATAACCCAACTACGGTGCTTGGACCAAACTCATCGTCTCAAGTCGGGTTCCAAGCACCAGCCATGTCGCTCACGCCGCGGTGCTGGATCCGCCAATGAAAGGTCACCTGCGTGGCGTGATAAAAGTGATGCCTGCAGGGTGGTGAGAGAGCTGAGCTGCTTGAGTTGGATCACGGGATTCAACGGATTGGGTGACCACGACAGACTTGTGACGTCGGTTTTGAAGAAGCTGCTTTTCATGTATTTGTTCGAATTCGCTGTGTGACTAGAAGAGTCCCGCAAGACCTCTACAGGCAGGAGGCAATTATGCTGTTCCCTGTACCAATGATAGGTCATTGTCCCAGAAGTGCTGCCTCGTTTGCGGTTTCTGTATGGTTTCTGTAAAGGTGAACTACTCTCAGGTAGCCAACGGCTTTCCAGTTGAACCAGTTGTGACTTCGTAAACCTTACTCCCCTGAGAATTGCTGACGGACTCACGGTGGCCATGCGTCAGGACTCGCTACTAGCGGCCAAGTCGCGTCAGCACAGGCGCACGGTGCGGGGTCAAGCGTCGGTGGGAGTGGCGCAAGCGCAAGGCAGTGCCCAAGGCGAGGACGAGAGGATCAGGAATCACACAAAAGCAAGGAACTAAGGAAATAGGGGGGGTGGTTTCGGATATGTTTTAAATCACTCAACCTTTACTTGGGATGAGTGAACCCACTGAAAAAAAGGAAGTATACAGCTCAAATATCTAGTTAGCTTGATTCCAGTGTTAGAAGTTCTATAGCTGGACTTAGAGCTTCAATCCCAGTGCAACAGGCCTTCCGAAGCTTTTGGTACTCGGTTCAGTGGTAGCCGTGGATCCAGTGCAGGATCACGCACAAAAGTTGCGTGCATGTGTTTGGTGCTTAAGCCAGCTGACATCATGGCCCTTCCAGTGTTGATTGAACAGCAGTTGCGGTATAAACCATGGTCAGACTGAAGAATCATCGATATAAAGAATTCAAATTTGCCTCTTATTAGTTACTGTACGTTATATGTTGCAGCTGTTCTGAACATGCAATGTTCGCCTCAACTCCAGCTTTTCGTCAGAGCACGTCCCAAAGTTGGACCCTGCGCACTTGCGACAGCAATGCTGACAGCATGGCACGCCTCTGTTGCAATGCCCTGTTGGAGGAGAACGGCATTGCGGTTCTTCTCCAGTGCTTGGCAGGTGAGTTCGCATGGCCGCGTTTGTAACACCAGAGGTGTCATTTCCAGCGGTTATTTGCATGGAAGCGGGTACAAGTTCGTTCACATTTTCCAGCAGAAGTGGAGAGTGCACCGCTTGGTCAAGATTACTTTTCATGGACTTCCCAAATCTCCAGAAGCCTGGCAAGTACATCATGTAGACGGCAATGCAGCTAACAACCGCTTAGACAATCTTGAATACGTAACACCCAGCGAAAACATGCGGTACGCATTCTCCAACCCTTCAAGGCGCAGCAATGGGCCTGCAAGGTCAAAGCCTGTTCTCTGGAGACCGATTGGGTCCACCAGCTGGACATATTGTGCGTCTGCCAAAGTGCTTGCGCAGCATCTTGGCATCCACAGAAACACGGTGGCAGGATATTGCCACAACAACTCGGCAGCAAAAGGCTATGAATTCAGGTTCCCAGATGCAAGCGGGCATACTTTGCCTGGAGAAGAATGGCGACCCATGATTCTCGATCAAAGGGGTCGCGTGTTTGGAAGGACGGTGAGTTCTTTTGGCCGCATAACATCACAAACTGGACTGATAAGCCAAGGGTCCCTTACCCGACAGGGCTACTACACAACGCGTGTGCGCATCAATTCACGTTACCAGAATATATTTGTTCATCGCCTTGTGGCATTTGCCTTTCTTGGGCCTCCGCCAACTGTGAGTCAAACCTTCGTGAACCACAAGGACCTCGACAAAGCCAACAACGCAGCAGACAATCTTGAGTGGGTCTCTCAGGCAGAAAATATGGCACATTTTTATACAACATCCACCTTTGGGCAGGGGACCACCGCAAGGCCTGTTTGGAGCCGGCCGCATGGAACGAATGACACGTGGACCTGGCATCACTCCATGACCAGTGCAGCACATGAACTTGGTCTTAACCGCAAATCTATCTCCAATTGCGCGCAGAAAAAGCAGTGGCAAACTGGCGGGTTTGAATTCCAGCTGGTCGATACCCCAGAGGCAGTCTCTTCCCTTCCTGGCGAAGAGTGGCGAGAAGTCGATGAGCTTGTTCTACAAAGAGATCGAGAAGCGTGCAAACGTGTGTTGTTCACATGACTTTTTTCCATGGATTTAGGCTGGTTTAGGCGACCCTTGCGTTACATGTCAAAGATATTCCCAGACCTGTGTCTTCAGAGGTGTTTGAGAGAGCGTGATTGCGAGACTGCTGGGCTGAACGCGGCACCTTCGTGTTTTGATTGAACATATTCAATCCAACTCCTTGACTGTGTGGTGGTGGTTTCAGATATTGTTTATTACTTTCAACTTCACTTGGGATGATGATTGACCCCGCTGACTTTCATTTTTCAAGTCAGTTGGCACCACCAACCAGTTGAGTGTGGCCTTATTTCCCTTGTTGTTTGCTCTTCCAAAGTCCCGTCGTTGCTCCTGAGTCCTCAGGGGTTCTTGCCTTCTCAAAGGGCGGAGGCTCATGCCGCCAGCCCTTGATTTGCAAAAACACACATTCCACACAGCATATTTCAGCTTGCTTAAGGAACTCTTGCCCGCGACTGCGACTGACTTGTGTTTTCTTGATCACTTGCTCATTGCTTCTATTTGGAAACTGCATTGACAAAAAGATGCTGAAGGCTCAAGGGTCACCAGCATGTCCCTCTACCTGAGCCACAGGTGTCCTTTCTGGACTTTTGGTTGTTCCTGTCAATTTGGATCACAAAGTTGGCTCCCCAAGTGCGCTAGGAATGGTGGCGTGCCAATTTGCATCGAAAACTGGCGCCCGGAAGCCGGGGTTTGAAGCATCGTCACGGGAGCTTTGTAGGATTTGCTTGGCTTTCGGTACATGTGGCGCTCATTTGTGCACCCGGCGCTTGTTGCTAATCAAACAAAGGAATCGTGGAGCACAACAAAAGGGACTTAGGTTCGGTTTGAGGCTTCCAGTGACGGTGACGGTTTTTTTTTAACCCAGGACCAGGACCATCACAACATGAAAGAAATAGAAGCTTTGATGGAAGGCCCCTGTGTTGAAAGTTGCCTTTGGCTTTACACCGAAGCCACCACGATACGCTGCCTCAGATGGACATGATGGGACATGAGTTGAAGTGCTTGACAAAGTTGATAGGCGCAACATGGTACACATAGAAACTGGTCGGCGTTCACCTGTTAAGGATCAGCAGGAAGCATCCAACCATGGTGATGTGTTGAATATGTTGCTTTGTACTCCTCGAGGGTCCGGTGGTTTGGAACAGCTATATGAAAGCCCCGGGTCCTGGAAATCACAGTGACATGGGTGCGTGTTGAAATAGGGATTCCTCCCAAAGACCTCCTGGAAGAAGGGAAATGGAACACACATTTCCCCATTGGTTGGGGATCTTAAAATGCACACCCACATGTTCGCCATGTTTGGCCCCAGAGCTCCACCCTATGTTTGCCACACAGCTACACCCCATGTTTGCCACACAGCTACACCCCATGTTTGCCCCAGAGCTACACCCCATGTTTGCCCTACAGGACAAGTATGGGCCAAACATCTTCGATTTGCCGAAGCCTACCTTCATCCAGCGCCTTCTTCGCTGCCTTAGGGGCGACGAGGGATGTGTTAAACTCTCGTATGTGAAAGGTCAAGACCCGAGCTGGGTGGATCACGGTTACCGAGTTACCAACTGGCTTGGCTGGCTAAGGCTGGTGGCATAGTTGTTAGTAAGTGTTTTTGAAGGCATTATTGTCTCCATTGTATTAGAGTCCCCTGATGGAGACCCTGCCGCGCCCGGAGAACACTCCCCGAGCAGACTGCCATGGGAAGTGTGAAATCTAAGAAAATTTTGACCATCAACGACGGATCCTTCTTTCAATCGTGGCAGTGCTGAGGCTCTACCAGAAGCAGCTCATCTCACCTTTGGTGATTTTTCAGCTCTTCTCTTCTGCCCTTTGGGTCATGGATACCATGTGGCGCCCTGGCAGCGTCGTCGTAGGGGCCTGGTTCGTTCGGGGGCCTGGGCAGTGCCGGAGGTTCGTTTGGAGCTTCCTTTTCATCGCGACTAAGGGCTTTCACCGCGACTTAGGTTTTCAGAGTAGATGGGCACGTACGGCACCCCAACATGTCTTAGACAGATGGGGGTCCATATTACAATATAAACCACCGACATTGAGGATTGTGTCATCTACTCTCAATCCACTATTGGAACCAAAAAAATCCTTCCAACAAAGACTCCGGCGTTGAGACATTTCTGTTCAGTAGCTGCTAAGAGCATTTTTCAGACTAGTTGGCTGTCGTTTTTGGACCAGTGGGATGCAGATCCAACATGAACCAGCTTGACATGTTCATATCCTGAGCATGTTCACATGCAGAACAGCATTTCCCCAAAATGTGCTGCCCGGCCCTGAGCACCTGTGCCTTACTGGTAGGAGAAACCACTTCCTGAGCATGTTCACATGCAAAGCTAAGCACCTCCAAAAAAATATTCTGCCCAGCTGAGCGATCGATCAGCTGTCCTTAGCAGGAGATATACCTGCTTCACCCTGGGCAGCATTTTGCTCTTCGAAGCCTCCACCGTCTTCCAGCGCCTCAAGTCTATGGCCACCTTACGGGGCATGAGCACGAAAAGCCGCTCAGCCGAGCGTTCAACTTGCGGAGTGCCCAGTTTCCGGGTGAATCCTCGGTTTCCGGGGGAAACGGTTTGGTTTTGTCATGATTTGTTCATGTACCAGGACCCCCAAGGGGCCCTTAACAGCTAAGGGACACCCCTTGGAGGGTCCTGGTATGTTCATGTCTTTCTCTCTCTAACTTTCCGGGACAACAAAGCTCCAAGTGACGTGAGCTGTGGGAGCGAAGACAGCGCGATCCCTGAGCACGCCGCGCCAGGGTGGCACCGGTGCTCGACCAAACACGGCATCGATCGAAGTCTTAATCGTAGGAATTCAGCCAACAGTGATTTTATGGGGCCTTGTTCTACTCTGTTTTACTAAGGATTTAGACTACAAAACCAGGTTTTCTAGAAACTTTGGAACAGTTGGATCCACGACATCGGATGATGAGGATGGTCAGTGTGAACATCCTGACCCAAATAACCGGTCCACCGAAGCTAGCAGCTTTACATCGAGAATTCAGAGACTCCCAACATGGATCAATATGGCATATATGTAAACACTGCATGTATAGGTTAGTTGACCGTCACCCGAACAAAACAAAAAGACACACTTTCAGTTGCATATTCATCCTATACCCACGTTGGGGTAGGCATACATTCCACATCTGAAGGCATGTCGACAGGTTAATGTCTAGGTTAGTTAGTTCACCTCAAGAGAAAGAACATGAAAGAAACACTTTCAGTCGCCCTGCCCGAACCCCCTCACCCGCTCTCAGGCTTCAATGCGTGGAGCCCCAGCCTTCGCCAGGCTTCGACCCTTCAGACCGATGGCACTGGCACACCGAGATGTCTTAGACAAACCTGTGTAACATGTTGTAACATGTGAGATCCCTAGTTTGGCTCAAGTAGTCCAACCCCGAAAAACAATAGTTTCTTAGATCCAAGCTGTTAGCTGTTAGTCTTATATATATAATATATATATGGACTATTTGTTTGAGTAAGTCCTTACATACCAGAATTACATGCAACTATTACATACCAGAAAAATGAAAAATGGCTTCCAGCCAAAGCCACTGCTATGAGACATCATCCTCCAAGGTCTACGTCTTTCGCTGTGGCACCTGGGAGGATCGGCCCATCGAAGATCTTTTGCCAGGGGATTTGATCTCCCTCCACACCAAGTGCCTTGGATCCTCCATCTCCGGGCCGTGAGGAGATGGAGGTCGTTAAGAAAACCTGGACCCGGATGTGTGGCGTGCAAAGAGTTTACGGTCTCCACCGGCCCAGGCTGGTTTGCTAGCTGATGTCGAAATGGGCGAGAAAAGTGTGATCGTTGGAGGTGTTCAGGCGCAAAAAAAGAACCATCAAAGACAGATTCTCCTGAAACAACGGTTAAACACTTTGGGATGTTGTACTTCCACTTATCAATAATCCGGGCCGGACAGGTTGGTGAATCTAAGGGCGGATGAGCATCAGCCTGAGACAGAGGGAGAGAAGCCACCTGAGAAGAAGGATCGGCAGATGATTTTCGTGTCTGTGAGTCGCAGATTGGAAAGAACTGGCTCTAGGTGTGTTCTGTGCAAATTTGATGGAAGTTCAATGTCAACATCGACCGTTTTTTGGAACTTTGAGCTTTCCAAGGTTTGACCTCGTTGGAACGCAAGCTGCAAGTCAACATCAACCGATATTGAATGATATTGAACTCTCATCGGCTCAATCGTAGACGGACGACGGATGCTGGCGGAATCGCAGGACACCTTGGTGCCCTGCGATTGTCTCATCATCAACGGAAGCGCCATTGTAAATGAGGCGACCCTGACAGGCCTGGCGACCCGTACAGGTTCGAGGCTTTTTGTTCGATCGAAACGGCCAGCGGGAAGACTCAGCGACTCAGCAGGGTGTTGTCCAACTTAAGAATGTCAACCTGAGAGCTTACATGGAACAGGTCAGGTTCCCTCCCTAGTCGCCATCACCAAGTACAGTACATTCAACTAACAGCCCTCCGACCCAACATTTTGTATCCTTTGGCTCCAGCCTCTTTATAGATTTTTGGATGTTATCGCACCCACCTATCTATTTGTCCAGAAAGGCTCAACTTCCACCCGGGGAGGCCACCCCCACACCAGTGTCCACCTCTGTCAGTGCAGGTGAGTCAGTGCCGCAGATGAAAGATGCCATGGGCCATGGCACTGACCCGGACTTGGTGGTGGATTGCTTTGGAACCCACAGGCGTCGTCTCTCCCACTCTCCAACGGGTAACTCTCCGACTCTCCGTGGATCTCCGTGGGATTTCTGAAATGGATGTGAATACGATGAAATAGGTGGCATGGTAGACCCACAGGCGTCTCTCCGATTTTTGGGGTGTCTCAGAACAGCAAAAAGACGTGGCGGATGAAATCGATCTCGGACATGTGTGTTTTATTGTATTTCTATGTGGGTGGTGTAGGATACCCAGAGAGATCGGCTGGCAGTTGTGGGTGGTGGATGTCGTGGGTGGTAGGTCCTGGTAGGTGGTTACCTGCTCAACTCATCTCATCGGCTCATCCAGAAGTGAGCCGTGGAGTGCTTCTTTATAGCATGCCTCATTCGCGAGTGCACCCACACATGTCTGTTGGGCATGCGCTTGCATGCGCTTGCATGCCCTGGTTCCCGGAACTCGTGCTGCACAGGATCCATGCGCTCTTCAGTGGCACATCCTTGATCCAGACCACTGCTCCCGAACGCGTGCGGAAGAGCAAGAGCGACCACTCGGATCCCACTTGTCCGCCGGACGAGGGCGCCTTTGGTTAAAGCGGAGCGGCCAAGCGGCGGCTGCGGGTGTGGCCCGTTCGTCCGAAAGGGTTTGGGAACGAGATCAACAAGGTGTAAACACTGAACCAACAACTGAAACCAACCAACACTGAATCAACAAGGTGGTTAACACTGAAAGGGTGGTTCGTCCACTGAAAGGGTTTTCTTTGAAAAAAGGACTCCCTGTTAACCATGCGATCTTGCGATCTTGAGTGGGAAATCTTTGTGCCATTTGTTTGACAATGATCAGTTTGAAGGTGAATATGTTTCAGGCTTTTCTAAACACCAAAGTCAGACTGATAACCCACTCGAGGTACCATGAGGCCAGTAAGCCACGAAGCCCGGCCATACTGGAAGTCCAACGACGGCTGAGGCATCCTTTGCTTCGTGCTGCGGACTGGCTTCAACTCTTCTCAGGGCCACTTGCAGTTGATCAAATCTCGTGTTTCCCAATGCTGGTGAGTTTTAGTTGCAATTCAATATCAGTATTTTAGTACTATAGACATAATGGACTGTGAATGTGATTCACTTCCCAAACCATAAGTTTTGAGCTGACTTTCCTCGCAAGTTTGGGAAGTTCTATAAATAGGCCTGGCCTCACCCTCTCTGATGCTAACTGTTTCATCCATCTGCAGATTGATCAGCATTGCTCTCAGCATCTGCTCCCCCAAAAAGTCCCAGAGAGCCACGCCACTGTGATCCGCACCGCTTCCCCAGGCGAACTCATGCGGATGATCGAGTTCTCCACCGCGGCTTGGAGCCGGGTTGAGTGGCCGATCTGTCAGAGCTGCGAGCTGCGGAGCAAGACGTCCTGAACAAGTGAGAATTCATGCATGGGCGTGTGCGTGTTGTTGTTGTTGTTGTTGTTGTTGTTGTTGTTGTTGTTGTTGTTGTTGTTGTTGTTGTTGGGGGGCTAGGGCTGCTTTCAACCAATGGGGGCTTGGTCTATGTTTATTTCCCGGACCTTCCAGGGCGGTCGGAACGCCTGGGAGGTCTCCCTATTCCTGCAGAACTTGGTCCATTGGTGCATCGCTTTCGTTCTCAGGAAAGTGTGGGTGCTGATGTGGTCGAGACGGCCTTACAGTTGGCCTTCCTCTTAGTCTTCGCTTTAGTGGCGGCCGGTTACGTCATGAAGAGCCTGAGCTGTGAGCTGTGAGGGTGGCTGTAGAGGGGGACCATTGTGAGAATTGCAGGAACCTAGCTTATCCTAGCTTTATTCCTTTCTAGGATTATTCGACGTAAGAACCTTGTATCTATCAGAGGTTCCTGACTCGTAATGTTGCTTTTCAAACGATTCTGGCGGGTCGCGGGAGCGTTGGCTTTCCCACTTGGGTGGAAGATGGTGGAAGCAAGTATAGATCAACCAACCCTGCAAACAACTACTGACAAACCAGGGAGCTATTTGGAGTAGTCATCAGTTTTCTACCAACTGATGCTCAGCACCATCCAGCGTCTCAACGCCCGCAACCATGCTATTGGCGTCATATATTGGCCATTGTGACTACTATATGGCGCATGTTGTTGTGCATAAGTGTTGAATTCCCACCAGCTTCCCGCTGACTTGTGAAACCAATTGCATTGACCTTCACACCCTTCACACCCTTCGCACCGGTTCACGTCCTCCCTTCCGCCCGAGCCGAGCCAAACACCGAGGAAGGCGTCGGAGGACCCCACGCGGCCGACCTACAAGACCCTCATCCGTTGCACTCAGCGCCTTGGTCTGGCGCTCCGACCTGCGACCGACGCGACCGCTGCGGGGCGGAAGCCTGGTGCGGAGAGTGCGGTGCGGAGAGTGCCAGGGTGCGCGCGGAATCTGTGGTTGGAATCTGTGGAGTGGAGTGGAGTGGAGTATGTGGGCTTTGCGGTTCGAGGAGGGACATAGTTGTTTTGTGGAAGGTGTCTTAGTCTTTTGGGGTGCGAGGGGTGAACTTGGATTGGGCCCACCATTGCGGAGGATTGCATAATTGAATGTCATGAATCGACCTGGGCTGTGAGCACCACCCCAAAGCCATGTTATGTTCATCAGCCCAAAGCAGGTTGAGAGGCCATTGATAGCCTTTCGATGCCTTTCGTCATGTTCATCGACCAAAGCCTATCATGAGGCTCTTCAGCCCAAAACGCTGTTTCTTTCCCGAACTGGTTCATATCCCCATACCTGGTGAATCTCCCCATCCCGAACTGGTGAATCTCCCCATCCCTATGGGTTCCTGGACCCGTTTTTCCTCCGTTTTCCATCGCTGTCACTCCAGGATTATTACTTCCGTGGTGCCGCCCTCCTTGCCCATGCAGATGGCCTTCGCCGTGAATACCGCGCTGATGAGCCTGCTGAAGCCGGGGCGTCCTTTCTTTTTCGTCGCGAGCGCGTGGCGAGCGATTGAATTGGGGTGGTATACGATGGGTATATAGTTGGACAGACCATCTCGCAGCAGTTGTGAAGACATGGAGTCAGACCAGGTCATGACACTATATGGTTTGTTTGGACTGGCTACAAGTAGACCTCCACTTCGTGTGAGAGTAGAGCTCGACACCAAACATTGCAGAATGCAGCGCCAGACAGAGTTCTTTGCAGCAGTGCTTGAGCCGTTTCCCGCATCATTCCGCCAGGGGTGGCATCTATTGCACCGAGCCATTTCGCGTGCCCTACGCTGGACGTGTGTCGCATTGCTTCTTCGACAAGCTTCTGGGCAGCGATCGTGGACAAAGCACATCGCTTACACAGGGGGGTTGGTCCAAGGGATGGTAGGTGGGATGGTAGGTGGGTTTTGACCCGTGGGATCCTGGACCACCAAAACTGAACCGATTTCCATGAATTAAAGGATGTCAACCTTCCATGATCTGGTGGAGGAGGCTTTAACTTTGACACTCAAAGAGCCCCGGTCGTTTGGTCCCACTGAGGACTGGCACTTTGACTTCAGATCAAATGGTGGCCGTGGGCATCATCAATGCAGGCAGCGACGCAGTGGGTCACCCCTTGTGGGCGAATCCTACCGTTTAACTTCGCAACAACCCGGGCTTGGTGGACAAACTGCTTCTCCAAGCCCTAATGTTGCAAATTGGGAGGCTGCTTTGTGACGGCGTTTGCTATGAACAAGGTGTTTGGGTTCAGGGTTGTGGATTTAGATGTAGATGAAGTTGCTTCGGCCTCAAGACCGTTATAGCTTCATGCAGAATAGCTTGGTGCGGGGTGGTTATCGTTTCTTTACAGCTCCAAGTAGCTTCTGAGAAGGTGTTTGGGGTGGATGCCAGGAGGGTCCAAATCCCTTCTGAGGAGGTACTTGGAGCCCTAGGGTTAAAAAATGGTTTGCGATGTCATTGATTCGTTCGCCAAACGTAGCGACGTAGGATGCAGTAAGGCGACAACAAACATCCACCCAGGCGGTCTCAATGAACCTCAAGAGAACTCTAGTCTAAGCTCTGCCTAAGCGTAGATAACTTTGTTTGGAACCCGAGCCCATAGACTTTCAAGCAGAAAAAAATAGAACTGTAGGGATCTCCACTGCACACCTAAGACCGAAGATGGTCAGCAAATCTTTCATTTTCCTTTTTGGCCACTCCGTCCAAAGCCCCAAGTGCATACACTTAGATTGAAAGCTCTCCGCACGGGCTCTAGTAGTACACCCTGCGCGCGAGTATACTCTGCTGCCCTGGTCCTGCTGCCCGGTTTCAGGCGGCTCCAGTGGCAGCTCTGCGCCCAAGGTGGCACAGGTCGGCTTGTTCCGCGCCAAAAAAAGACAAATGGGACACTGCCAACAGAGGTTGCATGACCCGAACTAGACATCTAATAGACTATCCCAGTTGGGTACTATGTCATGTCAGTGACGGTAGACTGGGAACCAGTGACCGGTACTCCGGGTCCGGTCGGCGACCTCTCGGGCGATGGGTCCGTCCATTGGCCGCGTGGCCGGGACGGTGCTCGGGGACGGACCTCGCAGGACATGGGATGAGAGGTCTTTTTTACCCATAGACTCCATGGGACTGTCATAGGACTGCCCATCAGGCCAGGGGTCGTTTTGGGGGTCAATGGATCGGCATATATGGCAGTCCCATGGAGTGTCTGGGTTAGTACCCAGACTGACTGACCTAATATAGTAGTCTCACTGGATGAAAGCATGTGAGGGGGGTCGTTTTCGTGCATTTCGACTTCAAAACCATGAGTGATCATTGAGTGTATGTCCTTTTTTTGAACCTCCTCCCACTGATGTTGACAACTAAAGCATAGATACTCCATGCATTGCAATATTGACAGGCATGGGTTACTTGGGAAAGGCATGGAAGATCTATTGACTGTTGCTTGCATGAATTCCCTTTTTTCGCACCCATCTTCTTCAGCCAATGCACCTGCAACAACCTGCAAAACTGTTTACGGAGGCCATGTGCAATTGAATCTGCAGGCATTGGGCATGCTTTTAGTTTTCTGCATGAATGAAAGGATAAGGTATCAGAAGGAAGCACAACACGACCCCGGACAGGTGAAAGATGCCAATCCGATGGCCTGTGTGGTCATTGCTGGCTGCCATTCCCTGTACCTTGAATGAGCTCAGAGTGAGCAATCCTCCGTCGTGAACAGTTTGTTTTGCTGTTGTTGTTGTTGTTGCGGTGGTGGGATACTCTATCGACATCCATTCCTTTTTTTCGACAAGAGATGACAAAAGGATACACAACCCTAGGGCTACAAGTGCCTCCTCAGAAGGTATTTGGACCCTCTAAACCCACCCCAAGCACCTTCTCAGAAGGCGCGACTGGAGCCCAAATGGGAAAAGGCCAATTCACGGGATGGGGAGGTTGCATGGATCGGCAACAGTCAAGTACACGTAGGCGTGACTGGAACTACCATGAACTACATGTATAAGTAGACTGTTGATTCAGAGATCCCCCCCACATGAAATCATATGAAGAGGTCTCGCAATCCATGTTTGGGAGGGGTTTTATTCCTGGACCCTCCAAAGTAACTTAGAAAATGGGACGTGACCCTATAAAAAACAGGTACTGGTACACATTTTCTGAAGTACTTTGAGACTGCAGGCAGGTCCAGAGTCTACATGCGCATTTCCATTCCATCAAGTCAACATCCCGCCTCAGTGAAGCCAACCGGCGCCACTTCCAGCAAACTGGCAGTATTGCTCCCAGGATCGAGGTGGAGAACAAGCTCCTGGGAGATCCCATCGAAGTTGCGGCCCTGCGACGCTTGGCGTTTTCTCGTTGTTTTGGAATCACCTAAAGGCCTAAGCCTAGAGGCTTGAACACTAGCTGGTGCTCAGGAGGGAGCGACAGGAGTGGGGAGCATCCATATTCACCATGAAACAGGGAGCCAAGGAGCTACAAGGAGTTCCTCGACCCCGACAGCTAGTTTACTCCACTTTTTGTTTGCTTGCATTTGGTGTTTGTGTCATGTGTAGTCTTGTATGTCAAGGCCTAGGGGGAGAAAAAACAAAAAAACATGTTTGGTGTGCATCTGCATATGTTTTACAACTATACATGATATAGGTTTCTGGTCTAAGGTCTATGTCTATTTTCCACCCCTTCCATGGGGTTGTCGTTTGGGAGATTACCTATTTGATCCGATTTGAGCTCATAGAATGAGGCAAGTTTGCTTGTGCTCATCGATTCTAGTACCTCCCCCCCCCACAGTGGGAAGGATCATGGTCACCGTGGATCACCCATTCTTGCTTCGATCTGTTGGGGTCGTTCTTTAAGAACGCAGCCCATGTTCTTAACTTACCCAAAGGAACATGGGCTGCGTTCTTAAAACCAGGACATGTTCGTTTACCCATGTAACAATTCCTGAAAACATGGCATTTTGCGCTTTCTCCGAGAACCCTTTGCCCTGGATGTTGAGTCAGAGATAAACCTAGCGTGGCAACTGGCGTGGCTAGGGGCTCATGGGGTGATTTCATGTAGTTCAGGTATTCAGTTTCTCAAGTTCTCAATTTCTAGCCACCTTCCTCACATTCCAGCCCATCCGGTTCATTGGGGCAAACAAGATATCGCAATTGTAGATCGCCCACATATACCTGACTTAGCTTCTTCAATGTCTCCCAGATCGTTTAGCAAAAACCCTATCATCGCTCTCAGGAAGTATCTCTTGGAGCTACCAGCCCAGTAGCAGCACCGCTTCTCCAACCAATTGGAGGGCGAAGGACGAGTGACATGGGCAGGACGAGGTTGAAGAACCCCAGGCCACGAGCATCCAATCAGTAGGTCTATGGGGTTGAAGGTCACTAACCCCTATATATAACGTCCCCCCAGTAGGGTTGAAGGTCTCTTAACCTCTCAAACCCTTTGGGCGTGTGGCCACGTGGGGGCACCAATCTTCGCGTTGGTTGATGTATTTTTTGTCCGCGGTGTTCTTCGCACTCGTCCAGCGAGATTTGAGGCAGCGTTCGTCCAGCGATCGCTTCTTTGACTGGTTAGCTTTCCTTGACCTGCCATCTCTCGCCTCATGCTTTGGTTGATCATGGACATGTCGCATGAATCAGTTTCAGCCCAGGCCCTGGAAATTCCCTCCCCTTGTTCGATGGATTTGATGAGTATGACGATGTGTTGACACTGACTCCTTTGCCCTTGATCACATCGTATAGGGTTCCTGTCTCACATCCTAAAAGAGGGTGGTTGGGGTGGGTGACAGGGGAGGTCTAACTACTTTCCGAGAATGTGGGACAGGAGCCCTAGGGAAAGATGTACAAGTTAACCTCATGGTCCCCAAAGAGAGAACTCCATTGGCACTAAGACCCTGAAATGGAAGGCCCTGTGGTTTCGACACGTTTCGACCATGATTCCCCTACAAAAAGCCAGTGGTTTCTATGGAGTGCAGGGTAGTAACAGTTCTGAGACGGCACTCTCCAGAGGGGTCTCGAGCCCACCACAGCGGCCACTGTGGTAGGAGATCACCATTGCTCGGCAAAAGACCTACATGGCTGGATTGAAAGATGATATTGAGTCAGACAAGAAGGAGAAGGAAGAGGCTGCTTGGCGATGTTTGGCTATGCCCTATAGGGCTGCAATCCATCGGTTGCGAGTCGGATCTGGACCCTCCAAAGTACCCTGGAAAAGGGTACATGACCCTCTAAAAGACAGGTACGACTGTACCATCTTGTAGCCATTTTCCGAGGCAGGGGAAGCCTGGCCCATTTGTAGAAACGAACTAGGGTATCGATATCCCTGCTGCAATGTAGGAGTGTGTAGAGTGTTGTAGTGCTTGGCACATTTGGGTCACTGAGCGTAGCAAATGGCATCTATGTCTATATATAATATATATATATATATGACTGATCGTCCAGCCCCTTACTCATTGTTTCGCAACATAGGGCAACCTTGGGCTCGTCCTCAGGACGCAATGCCCTTGTAGGTCAACCATCGGTCCCGGCCACACCCAAGTCCCTTCGCAAGGTCCGTGTGTTCGCGTCGCTCGAGCTCAAGGGCGTTTCTGCCCTTCTCGCCTTCAGACGCACGATTTGGGCTTCGATTTTTCGGGTTGTTCAGGGCTTCGGCATCCGGACTGGAATATGATCCCTACCCCCCGTTAGGTACCCACATTGTAACTTACACTTCCATACATTTGTTTAGGTCCCCCTTATATAATAGGTAGGAATGGAAGATTGGTTGATGCCAAGGGGTGATGTGGAGATGTGGGTGTAGGGCTTCAATGGGACCGTAAATGTTCTCTAGTCCCGTTTTGAAGAGACAGTTTCCAGAGAAGACGTCGACCTTTGCTGGTGTATCCTGGAGTGTAACGCATCCCGTGCCAACCTGATCTATTCCATTCTATTCCACATCTTCAGCATGGCGTCAGGTCACGAAGAAGCTTCAAGAGCTTGAGAAGAGCTGCTGGACTGCGCTTGGAATTCACTTGTTTCGGTTGCTGCAAGATGATGCTTTGTTCACCCCACCTGCTAGGCTGTGTTAGGACTCCAGGCCCATATCAGGGGCTAGTCACTAGTCACGCCCAGACATACCCAGACCATCCATTCAACTGGAGACTAAACAATTGACCCTCAAGGCATCTGAACAAAGCACCCTGGCCGGCCCTGGCCAATCAACTCCAGCTCCCATGGATTCTGGGCGAAAAAAACTCCAGACACGATTCAGCTGAGGCTTGAAGCAAGACCGCACGGAAGCATCCAAGCTCACGGTGCAGATCAAGCATCGCCGCTTGCTGTATGTTTTTTTGTACCTGGACCCTCCAAAGTACTTTAGAAAATGGGACATGACCCTATTGAAAAAAAAACAACAGGTACTTGTACCCATTTTCTGAAGTACTTTGAGACTCCAGATATGCGTATGTTCTATCTTTTGAGATCCAGGTGTGTTATCTAGATACTTGAATTGACTATGGTTAGTTCAGCAGCAGACAGACATGGAGGTTGTAGCATAATGAAAAGTATACGTGAGATGGAGCCATGCAGAGAGAGCGCCACCTCAGTGGCGAAGAACTGCATGGAGGGTGTTGGAAGGTTGGTCTTCTTTGAGTGAGTGATAGTAAGCAGGGCCATGGGCGGAAATGAGGAAGATGTGGGAATCCTACCCAAGAACCTCGGGCATTGGCTTACCCAAGGCATGCCCAACTGCAAAAGATGGAACCATATTCCTGAAACGATGCATTGTTGGCCGGTTTTGTTGCTACTTGCGATGCTTTTTGGATCAAAGCTGGTGTGTTCGACCGTGGGCAGGGCGACTGAAGCGACCGCAGGTTATCATTTCTCTTCTGACTTGCAGAGGAGCCGGGCATTTGAGAGGGAGGCTCACATGAGCTCGTGTAGTGGGCTCAGATGCTTCGGCGTAGGGAAGCTGAAGATGGATAGTCGCGGGCGGTTTAGCAGACCAATCCAGACATGGGCTCAGCGGAGATGGGCCTGGAGCTACTTCGCATGGGGAACCATCTTCGTAGGTGAAAAATCACTCAGCCCAGGTATTTTAGCAAAGGGCCCAGGAAGTGGTCACCAGGAATGTCTGGGGTTTAGAATCATTAGACAGACGTGGGCGCCAGCGGCATTGTACTGCGAGCCCTTGGCAGGATGAGCACGATTTGCAAAGTCGCTTCTTCAACTGAGAAGTGCCAAAGCGGTGTGCCCAGGCTGCAGACGATTGAACATATTTGGAGGATTTTGGAGGGATGCCGCACTCCAGGCTCTTTTGGGCTCTTCAGGGTCTAGCTTTGGGCGTTTGGAGTTTGGAGGGTGCAGGTGTATCATTCAGTTCTACCAATCTGGAGCTTTGAAGGGAGCAACTTGCTCGGTCTTCGTGCTGCGGCTCGGATTTGGCTTCTTGGACTTGAGGCGACCATCCCTGACACCCAAAGAAGTTCACGGCCATAGAGCTGGAACCAGTGGGCATATGTCATTTGTTTGTTTTCATGCATAAAGATGTCACTTTTATCAGGTCAAGGTCGAATGTTACCACTATCACCAGTGACTATTTCTTCGAGTCACTTGCCTATCAAGGCACGCCCGTGGATTCTGGCCGCTTCATGCACCACGCAGTCCCACCGTCCACCCCACACCACCCCCCCCGAGGGCCACCTCACCGGTGCATCACGCCGGGTGGACTGGCTCTCCGAGGTCTATAGCTTGGTCAAAGGCTCCCCCGAGGCGATCGCCAAGCTCTTGGTGCAGCTACTTGGGCGTTGTTGTTGGCCGAAGTGGTTAGGTGGATGGATCCTCTACGGATGTCCATATAAATGGTGATACAGTTTGGATCAGTTTGGAGCATGTCTGAAAACCAAGAGTGTTGCAGGTTGGGATGTTCATCTAAGTGACTTCAGTGCAGCTCCTGAGTTTCAATGAATTGAACGTTCGAACGGTCAGAACCCGTGACGAAATCGCTTCCAGCCGGTCCCCGCGGAGCGGCGGAGCCGTGGAACTCGCTCGCTCGCGTGAGGAAACCGTCTTGGTACGAGAGCTCCTACAAGTCCATGGCGGAGCAGGGCCAGCGAGTGTTGGCCTTGGGCTATGCACGTTTAGGCACGCACCATTGGGGTGGGCCTAAGAGGGAAGTGATATGAGGGAGAGGAACCAACCTCTTTGGGCGGATGTTCTTTGGAGGAGCATTGCTTGTTTGACTTGAACATGCTTGTTTAGGTCTTGCTTGGGAGCATTGGCGATACAACTAGACCAGCTGAGCAGAAGGACCATGTTGCTCAAAAGATGTCCCCTCCCAAAGTTCAATAGGCCGTCTTGCCCAGACGTTTCTTTCAATCACATCACTCAGATATTGTTTGTTGTTGTTGTTTTTTCTCCAGCCTGAGTGGACTAAATCACTTATGAGACTTATGGAGCTAGTACTAGTGTGGCCCTGTGCAACTGGGGGTCGTGGCATGTCATGGTCCGGCAAGCGTCCCGCGCACTTTTCCCAGACACAGGTCAATGACCTCATTGTACTTGAGTTGGTCATACAAAACAAATACTCGAGGAGGTACAAGACCAGCTTTTGCCACAAAAGATACTTGGATTTGCAAAAGGAACCGGGAAGACGACATGTCCCAGGTATGGGGATTCACCCAAACAGACCCAAACCATAGGGAATAAAAAAGAAAGTCACCTCAAATCCGCCCAGAACTACCATCAAGGACTCAACCAGAAGTCCTCCCCATGACATCCAGACATCCGCACGAAGACGCCACTTACTCACGCCTTTCAACCCACCTGCGGCCTGCGGCCGACGCGCAGTGGATGCCACCGACCTGGCGAACAAGCCGAGGGAGGAGGTGGAGAAGTCCTTGACCTTTGCGGGATTCATTGCCTTCAAGTGCCGCCTGGACCGCGGTTTCGGTACTGCCGTACTGTACTACTGCCACAGCTTGGTATCGTGCGTGGTCGGACCGTGCATGGCCTTCCTCACCGAATCCCTCGTTCTCTGAGGTGAGACGCGGAAGGATAGCATGTTGGTGATCCGTTCCCTACAGGCGATGCAACTGGTGGGGCCACCGGATGGGATGGAACATGGGCGGATGGGGCGAAAAAAGAACGGGTGGTACTGTGGTACCGACGTTTTTTCTTCCACGATTGATTGCTACAATTTTGTATAGGGTGTTTTTTTTCTAGATATTCAATCCTAGATAATGTTTTGGGAGGCATCACCAATTGTGTATAGAGGATTTCATCCTATATTATTGATGTTTTTTCACTTCACGAATTTGAACAAAAACACGTTTCAATAAAGTCATGTTTCTCCACCCAAAAACGTGCCACGTTGTTTTGTTTTGTGGCAACCTGGCCGACAGTGCCGACAGTGCCGGATGAATTCACAGAGCGCTTTTCAGGACTCCAGCCACACTTGCGTGATGCTCACGGGCGATGCTCCCCTGACCGCTCTCAGCGTGGCGGTGGAGGCGATGATTTGGGGTCAAAAAATGTCCAGCTGGAGTGGATGTAGGCGAACGTGTGTGGATGAAGGAACTGAGAAGAAGATAGAGACTTGATGAGATGATGACTGTGTTGTGAGCGTTTGGATACTGAGGAGTGGATATTTTTGTCTAGCTCAATGTTGAATGAACATCACTTGGGATGAGGACCGAGGAGCCAAATCAGAACCCAAATCACTTGGTGAATCCCAATCTCTGTAGCAGTTCACAACCAGCTGCCTCCATGATGGTGCCAAGATGTCCTTGTTGTTATGCATCCCAAAATCACCAGGCCCATCTACAGGTCATGGGCCATATTTGCAGTCCGGTCTGGGAATGTGATGATATCAATGTAGGTATTTTCCCATTTTTCTCGCATCTCACTGGATGTTTCACTTGGAGTGGCCACTGTTTCGCCGCGATCACCGCTTTCTATCCCTCAGGTGGGCATCGCGACCTTTGATCCACAGAAGGCCCTGGTGCTGGCGGAGTGTGGCGAGTCTGTGGAGTGGAGCTTAGTGTTGCGGGGACAGTCCAAGGACTGGGTGTCCTTTACATTAGCAGATGTTCATAGATGTTCTATTTGCAAACTCGTGCGTCCTAGGCCACAGATGCGAGTTGTGAAGTTGCATCACATTGTCTCTCTCTCTCTCTCATTCCCCCTCTCCCTCTCCCTCTCTCTATATCGTAGATTGTAAACCATCCACATATACACATGCAAAAAAAACGTGTGCATCTACCGTATACAGTTTTAATAGCTGCTGATGTGTGTTTTTTGCCTTTGGTTCGATCCTGCTTCCTAAGGAGTGGCGACCCGCCATCACTTCGGCCAACAGCAAGGCACCGGGGGAGAAGCTCCGTGCGTTTGTTCGCTCAGTGCGCGAGCTGCTCAGTGGGGGTCTTGAAGGGTTGGGACTTCTTATTTTGGAAACCACTGTGGATTTCTTTTGCAGGTCATGAAGGCTTCTTCCCAAGCACAGTGGAGTTCTGGCAGAAGGTTTTGGGATTGGAGGCATGAACCTGTGAAGTGGAAGTGTGAAAGAGTGGGGGGGTAACTGTGTGCTTTTTTTAAGTCAAAGAGTGGGGATAACTGGTTATGTTTATGTTGAAGTAACTCAGATTCTTTGATTTGTTGGATTTGATTTGAACCTGAAATGGCTTCCCATGCCGTCTACGGCTGAGGGAAGGCCCGGACGTTGTGGTGTGAGACTGTGCTTCGCCAATCACCCTGTGCTTGGCTTCCCATAACTCACAGGAGCGATCCCAAACCATCCCAGAACGATGATACCGTGTGGACATATATTTATACCATCCACCTGGACCGTCCAAAGTACTGTCGACAATTGCACATGAACACAGGGAAAAAAAAACAGGTAGATTTGTACTCATTTTCTGAGGTGCGTGCTGAGGCTCCAGGTGTATTCAGTGTTCCTTCTTCTGAGCCACCAACCACTGATACCACCAACCCATCATGTGAATCTCCCGCTGAAGTTCGAGGCAGAGCCCGTGAAGTTCGAGGCATCAGGCCATGGAGAGAGAGAACTGCCAGGTTTCTCCAAGTAGAAGCCAGATACCCTCAGCTACTAGGGTCTAGAATGGGAGACCACCAAGTAATTGAGGGTATCCAGCCAGGACATGTGGGTGTCAGAAGTGGCTCAATGACCGGTAATGACCGGAGATCTATCTAGGCCCTTTGGGTTTGGCATGTCTACACTCACTCAGCCCCTTTGCGTTAGTGAGTGGGAGGATATTTGTTGTGTTCGTGGGTTAAAGAAGGACATCTGCTTCAAGAAGCGGGTGCCTTGTACTAAGTACAGGTGAGTGGGTCCTGATTGTTCATGAAGCTCGTTCTGGAGGATCACGATGGAGTCACACAACAGACCATTTATTATATAAATTCAAAAAACAATGTATTTAAATACTGGTTTGTCTTAGCTAGGGTGAATTATAATATGTTGCCAATTGGTGAATCCTCTTCTGCATGGGGGAATATTATGTTTTGTTCCAAGTTCCTCATACAAATCAAAATTATTAAGCATGAGTGCTCATATTTAGAGTCACAGCCGTGGCAGACAAAGCTGGTCTATTCATCCGAGCACAGCCGCGCTCTTTCTACCGGTGGCTTTCGCCTTTGGACGCGCCAGGGATCCAGAAGCTCAGTGAGAGCTGCGATTTGATCATCACCGGCGCGCCCCTGGAGCGTGCCTGGCAGATGGAGGACAGTGCAGTGATGCAGGCAACCGATGGGAAAACCACGACGCGCGTTCGCACGGTGATGAAGCGTGCGTCCTTTGTCTTCTTTGCGTCGTTTTCAGCGCATTTCGTCTACCGGCCTCGGGTAGTATGCGGTCTTGGCAAGATGCGGAACCGAAACATTGAAGGAACCGTGGAAGATGGGTTTTCGGATAGTTTTAGAGCTTGCAGACGTCCTCATGAATTTTGAGACTGCTGGTTTTGACTCTTTGTGAGGGAGGATGCAGTTCTTTGAGGGAGTAGAGATTGTTATCACTGATTCCGCAGAAGCTCCAGCTGCTCCAATCCTGCGAGGCACAGCTCAGTAGCGTGAAGATCTTTGCGCGGCTGTCGCCCTTCCAAAAGGAGCAGATCATCCAGGCTGGTGTTACACTTCGACGAACTTGTGGAAGTTGGAAAAGCCCCTGAGTGGTCTTCTAGGGACCCATGCCATGTTAGTGAGTCAGAGTGTAGGCTGTCGAATCTTTTGACGATTCCGAACAATCCCGAAGCCAACAGTAGTCAGTAGACCACTTGTTCGAACGAGCGTGGACCAATCTTCCGAACAATCCCCAATCAGTTGGCTCTTGGCATTTCCCCCACCTGTGCAGCACTTCCCCCACCCTCCTTTTCCATCTACGTGCTGCGCGACGCCCGCGCGAGCACGCGTCTGGTCAGGCAGTGAGGAGGAGCGAAAAGAGCTACTCCTTTATGTGCGGGGATGGTGGCAACGATGTGGGCGCCCTAAAGGAGGCTGGCCGTTTGAAGGTGGTTTTCTTTGTCCTGGGTGGGGACCCCTCCCCCAGACTAATTGGTGGGTAATTGGCGAAGTATGTGATAAATACAGGGTGCAGATTTATGATTTGGACCTGTAACTCCACAACTTTTGGGCGAACAATTTCAGAAGACCATCTTACCAGGAGCCTTGTTTGGAGTAGAGAGATGTTATTAATGTACAGTACTAGGAGTGATCATTTTTGGAGGTTGACCGAAGCAGCTTTGTTGGGGAGCATGATGAACGCATCATGCGGGCTCCTGGGTATGGCTAAAGCTGTTTGTTTAGATTTCATGAACTCTTGCCATGACTCACCAAGAAAAGCAGGAGTCTCCTCCTCACGGGTTAAACACGGCCCAGAAATTCAACGTATGAGTCGACTGTTGGTCGATCCTTCTTGCCGCATATCCTTTCATGCGTCGTCGCGACCCTAAGAAGCGAGAAGCGAGACTCGCGCGATCGCAGGCGGATGTGGGCTTAGCCTTGCTGAGCGGCTTCGGCAATGCCAACGTGGACGCGAAGGGCGAGGCGTCAAGCGTCGCAAGAGTCGGCGACCTTCGACCGGACTGGCAGTCCTGAGTCCCGGGGCTGTTGGGCCGGAGTCTCCTTTAACTTGGCGGCGGTCCTGGTCTGGTGGTAACAGGAGGGTTTTGGAGTTCCCTGTGTTTTTGTTCAGGTTCTGAGGCCGAAATGCTTCCATCTTTCCCCAAGCTGGCCAGCAGCGCACCAGGAGGGGGACAAGAAGGAGGCCACAGACGGGAAGGCGGAAGACGCGCTGGAAGCGGTTCGAAAAGAGAACCAGCAGAAGGCGCAGGAGATCATGCAGCCGCCTGGCAGATCAGCTCTACACTCCCTGGAAGACCACAGGGTGGAAGTGGAGAATGGCCCCAAGTTCGGAAGACCGTTTTCCACGACAAACAGGTGGTTTTCCACTTCCATGTTAGTTCCAGGGAGTGTAAACCTTCCCGGTAGCGCAGGAGAGGGATGAAACGGAGTGCGAGCCGGTGAGGGATGAGGGATGATAGCGAGAGATCGAGCGGGAGTTCCCCAAACCCCCAACCCAGCTAGGAAAATCCACCTTTTTGGATCAGGCCAGCTAACCCATACACTCCATGTATGCCATATATGCCTACATTGACCCCCCCAAACCACCCCAATGTAGGCATATATGGCATACATGGAGTGTATGGGTAATATCCCTTCGGATGTTGAAGAGGTTCGGCCAGCTGAGCGAACTGGCGATCGGGGCAATCGTGTGGTGGGCTTGTCCGGGTCGGCAGACCTCACTCCATGTCCCAAGTAAGCCGACTCCCATGCAAACCGGACACGTGTCGCTCCATCAGGGCGCCGGGGACAAACCTCTTTCGTGCACCCAGTCAGGGCTCCAGTCGCACCTCCGAAGCGGTGACTGGGGCTGGCACCCGGACCCCCAGTCGCACCATTCTGATGTTTTCGGGGTCAATGCAAATGTTCCAGTCCCATGCAGGAGTGTTTGGGCATGGTCTGTTTATGTTTGTTGTTCTTTATCTTTTGTTTTCTCCCATGGTCTGGGATCGCCTCTTGAGGTGTACAACAAAATACTCGTCTAAGTTTAGCCCAAGTTGAAGGACCCTACAGACATCCATAGACCTACCCTCCCTCCAACCAACTCGGAGAGCCGCATCACTTCAGGAAGTCGAAGGTGGAGATGGAACGGAAGCGAAAGGACCTCGGCTCGTCCCGAGCGGGACCGTTCCGGGCGCAACTCCAAGGCTGATCAGGGAGTTGCCCGTCCTTGACAGATTGGGGTCCTTATGAACCACTGACATTGGGGTGTGTGCCTTCTATACTCTCAATCCACTATGATGGATGTTCCAGTGATGTTGAGACTTTTCACAGCAACTAGTGCGGTCGTTTTCCTATTGTTCGACCTCCAGGGTCCGAAAGAGGATCGGAGCCGCGTGCAAAGATTGATTGAAGGGCCACCCTTCTGTGGCGGTAAAGGCTCTCCACTGCACTGGGGGATTTCTTTTGTTCTGTCCATGCAGGGGATATGTGTGAATCAGGACTCTTCAGGACTTGCTTCGAAGGGATTTGGACTCCAAGGGGCATCCTCCAAGGGGTTTACTACTTCACTGCTTGTGATCTGAGATATCTGAGGAAGTTTTTCTCTTTCCATGTCTGACTCTGTCAGGATTTGGTCTCCAAGCAGCAGGAATGGATCCAGGACGGCCACGTCGTGAGTTCCGCGTTTCCGCTGCGTCGCGGCGCCGCGGCCTCGGTGCGCTCGGACGCTGCGAGGGTGGCCGTGTGGACCCTCCACCCCCAACTCTGGAGATCAAAAGCCGGCTATCTGAAGGTATCATATATGGAATGCTATTCTCACTTATGGTTTACATATGGACCCTTTTCACTCACCCCAACTGATCGGTGAATATTGTCAGTCCTGACGGGAGTCTTTTGGCTTTATTTGGTTGGCTGCTCCGAAGAGCTTTTGTCCAATGTTTAGGCTTGAGACATTGCCTTAATGACACATGTTTTGGGTTGGTTGAGGGTTGAATGTCGAAGGCCAAGAAGTGAAGGAAGAAAGAATGAATGAACGAAAGAAAGAAAGATCCCCCCGTCCCCACTAATCATTTCACCAATGAGTCTCGGCTTTGCTTCGTCACGGTTTTCACCGTGACCGGTCGCTCCCAGGAGGAGTTGGAAGCGCGCAAGGCGCGCGGCGAGGACGTGGGCGTCATGGCGCAGTTCGGTGCCATGAAGGCCGTGATGGGCCGACTGCAGACGGAGATGAAGAAGGACCGGCACATGATGCGCGATGCGGGAGCCAAGCTCGCGGGGGTCCGAAGGCGATCCGGAAGGCGAGCTGAAGAGAGCTGTGGAAACTTGGGCAACTAGAGTTGGGCGACTCTGTTTGGGCGACGGAGGGATGGAGTCAGGAGGCCTGTTTTGGTTGGGGTGGTGTTCCGAGTGTCTAATATTGTGTATTTTTTAAAAACATGGTGGCGCAAGATTCAAGAGGTGCAAGCAGAAGACCGCTAAAGGACCAACATGTTTGGAATTCCTTCATGGTCTGAATGGGCATGGTGGATGCTTTGGATTGTGCTTTCCATGGCAAGGAGCAGGAGATGCAGCAGAAGAAGCATGGCAACGCCTTTGCTGCTGGAGCAGCCAAATGGGCTGAAGGCAGGGAGTGGCGGGAAATGTCTATGCATGGCTGTGCAATGGGTGAGGCCAGCATAGTATAGCTAGTTCCAGACACTCCGCAGTAGAGAGGAATAGGCTAGGCTACATGTAGGTGGTTGCAGTGATTTGTACCTTGGATTGGAACTTGCGGGCTGTTTGATGGATTTCCTGCAAAAAGATCAGATCGTTTGAATTGAGCTGTCATCACAGCATATATACCTGGACCCTCCAAAGTACCTTAGAAAATGTGACATGACCCTATACAAGCAGGTACTTGTACCCATTTTCTGAGGTACAAACTGAGATTCCAGGTGACAGTCCATCAAGCCCTCCAACTGACACCTTGCCTCCTTCGTGACAGTTCGTTCCATCCTATCAGAGGCAGCATCACCAGTTAGAACGCTTGTTGGACAAACTGGTCACACTGGAACTTACATTCACTAACAATCCATGTATGTATGTATATATACCCTAGACTTCCGAGGCCATTAAAACATGGTTGACCTGTTTTTTTTGTAGTATAAAATCCTTATATTAGTTATTTCGTAAAGCCTATTAAATTAATGGTGGTTGGAAGCCTAGGGTATATACGGAATATGTTTCTATTTCTACCTATGTTGACTCCTTAAATTCATTTCAAAATCACCCCAACAGATCGGCAAATATTCCAGTCCCATGAGGATGGTTAGTCAGATTGAACTTGTGATTCCAAAGAACTGCTCCCTGAGACCCTGGCCTGGGCTCATCTGAATGGACTTGTTCACCTCACCCAGCAGCATCCAGCAGCTTTAGAACGGTGTTTTCTACCTCACTTGGCCTCCCCAAACCACCGAACCCTCCCACCGTTTCCGCCGAGAAGGACGTCAGTTCCACCGTTTGTGTGGTCTTCCGTTTGTTAGGACTGGATTCCATGGAGGACACGCCCATGGTGCAGCTTGGGGACGCCAGCACCGCGGCGCCCTTTACCACGCGCACGCCCTCCATCAGCTCCGTCCCTTTGGGAGGAGTGGGGGGAGGAGGCGACCGGCGGTTGGGAGGTGGAGATCCAGCGGTTGGGAGGTGGTACACAGAGGAGGGGGGTACATATAGTGGTCCTTTAGACAATTACACCAACCCATCCGGACCTTAAAACCGGGATTCTGGACCTTCTCCAGATGGAAGTGGGTGGAACATGGATGGACCTCCGAGGTTAACGGATTTTGGAGTTGATTCGGGTGGAGAAGAAGCCTTTTGGGTCCATCTGTCTGGGCCACCGACCACATTCACTGAAAGGTTTAGGACGCTACTTGCATTGATGTCGGTATGAATTGAAGATGTATGGTATGGATTGGATGGTTGAGTGCTGGGTATGGAAGGTTCCCACTATTCCCACATGTCTGGTTCCATCAGTTGTTCCATCTCATGGATGGTCTGGGATGATCGTCAGCTTTTAATCCTCACACATCCGCCGTGCTGTCCTAGGTCGTTGACATCATCCGCCAGGGCCGCTGTACCTTGCTGTCGGCAGTGCAGCAGACTCTCAGCTCAACCGCTTGAGAAAGAACACTACCCCTAAACCGCTCCAAGCATCTCCGTTTCGAAGGTGTTTGGGGCGAGTGGCGGGCCTCTAGCTAGGGATGTACATGGAACCCCATCTCAAAAGAGCTGGACACACCAGGTTGTGACCCTGGCGCGGGAGTTCTTCTCCAAACACTCCATGGATGGAAGATATGCCAGGTGATTTTCAGGGGCCAATGTAGTATTCCATACATCAAGTGCTTGGTTCTATCAACAGTAGTATCGTAAATGATCGGTTCCTTAGGGTTGACCCTCCAGGCAGCTGGTTTAGTGGCTATGTATTTGTTGGATTCAAGAGCCTGTAGCTCAGTAGCTCACTGATGGCGAGGGGAAGAGTTGTTTTGATTCTGGAGAATTAAAAACAATCCGCAGAAATCCGTGTGTGCATTTTGTATAGATCTTTGATCCAGGAGAACTCTGCCCTGTGTTGTATCAAAATAATGACAGAACTCCGAAATCTTACCATGTAAAACCCCATTTTATGGAGGATGACGTTGACGTCATCTGGACATTCCCAGCGGGCTGGTCGTGGACCTCTCTGAGGGTTCTTCCACCAGCTAGGATGCAGATGATGATGCTGGAGTCCATGATTGCAGCCTACACCATGTCCACCATGTCCGTGGATGGTACTCGACCCTCAGAGCCGCACCTCGCTCCAATTGAGGAACGCCCCAATGGCCCGTTCTCCATCTATGAGCTTTTTGGTGCTTTATGAGCCAGAGTTATATAACATCCACCAGCTTCTTCCATAACTGAAGAAGGTTCCACAACTGAAGAAGGTTCCCTAGGGATCCAGTCGTACCTGCTCAGAAGGCACGACTGGGCCCTCCAAAGCCATCCCAAACACCTTCTGAGAAGGTACTTGGATCCCGGGTTTTATAACAAGCTGGGCTCCATCAGCTTCTTCCAGCCGGAGACCCAACTTCGAGGGATCTCAGTGTTGCGGATCTGGGAACCTATGAAGTCTACATCCGCTCTTCGAGACACACATGGAACCGGGTCACATGGACCAGACTGGAAGACGATGGTTTTCCTCTACAGTGACACAGTGGCTTTCCGGGTTCCATGTGGGTGCGTCAAGTGGTGTCCTTAGAACCAGGCCAGTCAGGTGAGGAACCCATTGTTCCCCGACTTCTCTTCGGTGAGGAACCCCCCGCCCTCGGAGTGTCGGAGCGGGGTCCGAGGCAGATGATGGCCAGCGGTGTCTTCGTGGGAATCGCCTCCTTGGCCTTCTCCTTCGCCAGGCGCGGACGAACAGATCGAAAGTGCTCGGGGCGAACGAAGACGGTGTGGGCTAGCGGATGACATGGGCAGAGGCGAGGACTGCGAAGACATGTTTTGGTATGTTTTTGGTATTCCTGGTTTTTGTTTAAGTCTATTTGGGTTTGTATTTTTTTTGGCGTGTACTTCCTGATGTAGTGGTTGGAAGTTCGACTTGAGCGATTCATACCCTCGAATCACACCCCCGAATCATACCCCCGAATCATACCCCTCAAAACGTTACACGTAAGAACCAGGTGTTAAGGTGAAGTTTTTGGTTGGTCTTTGTGCCTTGTAGATGTCCACGAGCCAATGGTGCATGACGTTTGCAATTGTGTGATCCATGGGCACTCAATTTGGCCAAAATTGTTTGTGTCTTCTTGTGGGACGAGCAAAGGCTCACATCGCAGGGGTACTCATAATGTTCCCATGTGCTCTCCCTTGAGAAGAAGAGCCAAAGGACCGCCTTCTTTTGCAGAATCTAATGGCCATACGAATCACACCCGATTCATGCCCGATTCATACCCGAATCACGCACCTCCACACAGTCTCCCACCCATCCCACATCCTGGTTGCTTTGGTGGGGCCTGCAAAGGGCCACTGGAGTCTTTGGTGGAAGAGTGCATTTGCCTAGTCTGCCCAGCATCCAACAGATGCTGCTTGCCTACTGCCTCGGCGCAGAGTGGGCCCACTGCTGGAAGTCCAGCTAATCCAACAATACAACTTCAAAGCTGCGAATCATCTGCGAATCATACCCTCGAATCATACCCCCGAATCATACCCCGAATCATACCCTCGAATCATACCACCTATTCAAACTTCCCGGCCCGACTACGGTAAAAAAATATACACCCATTTGCTTCCCCATGGGTAAATCCACTAACCCGGGAAAACAGATTTTGCTGGTTCCTCAAGCAATATCCAAGTAATTATTCTGAGTGACCGTCATTCAGTCACACAAAGCAAGGACCCCTTTGCATGGCATGTCAATGCACATGAATTTCCCCTTATTGGTTGACATGCAGGGGTGACAGGGCCCATTGACACTTGACTGTATAGGTTGAGCTGTACTAGGTCCATTTGCTCTGTTCATTGTTCGCTTGGACCAAAACACCCGAGGACCTCCCGGTGCCACGCTACCTGGCTATCGACCTCCCTCCCGGCTCGGTCCGGCCAGGCCGCTCGACCGGATGCATCCGGTGCGGCCGCTCTCCTCGGTGTTTCATCCGGCCAACCTCTTCAGTGCCGCGACCGAGAAACGACGCCTCGGACACGTCGACGCGTCGAGGGGCGGGCGGCGGTGGAGGGACCGACCCTAAACTGAAGGCCAGGCGGGGCCTCCTTGCCGGAGGCGATGGTTCGGTCGCGAAACCACAGGGTCGCAAGTTCTGGGGGCCGAACCCTGAGGTAGAAGGGATTTGGGTTTCAGGGTTTCGAAGCCAACGCTGGCTTTTTCACAAGACATGGACCACTCGCTGCGTACCAAGTGTAAAAAGATGTAAAAGATGTAAAAAGTGTAGTTGTTGTTCCAATGGTTCAGGTGATTGACAGATGTCTAAACAAAGGAGATCCCCTTTGCAACTCTGCACCTTTTTGATGTTTGGAGTGAAGAATTTGTGGGCGCTGAGGACCTGAAGACCTGATCACTTCAGCCGCAATCAAGAACCTAGGAGCCAAAAGCCCTAGGGCTCCAAGTACCTCCTGAGAAGGTGGTTAGGGTGGGTTTGGGGGGGTCTAACAATCTTCTGAGGATATGGTCATGGTTGGAGCCCTAGGGAAGTAAGAATTATATAGATCTGAACCCATCACCGCATCACCTTAGATGCTCAAGTTTTACTGCTGTCCGACGGGTTTGGGGAGCTTCTAATTTGACTTCAGGTAATTTCAGGTGGGTTCAGTATGGTACAATAGTTAGTGAAATCATCGGCTTCTTAAGGGATACGCGTCCTCAGAACTCTGTCCCAAATCCCCAAGGGCTGTTTATGGCATATCCATCTACAAATCATCACTTGGGAAGACTGAGCCAAGAGTCTTGACGGGGGTATATCATGCATAAGGAGGAAGTTCACATACTCTCCCCCCTCCTAGCAGGAAAAGAGCGGTCAATGTGATGGAATCATTTTGAGTGGATCCATGGTTGGGTGTCTCAATGATGGTTCTTGGCACTGTCATCGTCAGGGTGTGAGTTTGAGTTTCACATACGCAGTGGAAACTAATAGGTCTCCCGCAAGCAAGCGAGCAAGCAGTGATGCGAATCCACTGTTCGATTGATTTGCCGCTCCCATGCGTTCGATACTGTTCCTATCTTCAAGTCTGACCAAGTCATAGACAATGGCTCGTACCTTGCTTCGGTTTGTGGATGTTTTTTGGGTCTTTGGGCTGAAAAAAGACTAAGGGAACAGATCCTTACGGATGGACATCAGCGAGTTTCTACACTGAGGTATGCTGGGGCAGCTGGCGATTCACCTCTTCTGCATGGTGTACATTGCCAACCTAGCAAAGGCCTGGAAAGCTTACAGGGGGGGTCTTTTCATTGCTTGAGTAGGGCATTTAGACAGTCCGGATGTTTGCTCGGATGTCTTCGAGCGCTGAGCCAAGGGCCGACACCGCACCACCCAAAAGGTTGGGCTGAACTTCCGATCCAAACAGCCAGGTTGAAGTCACACCCGACGCACCACGCGCCTCTCGCACCACGTGCCTCTCGCACAACGCGCCGTCAGGAAGTGATGGGTGAAGAGGCCGTGCGAGACATCATCGAGTTCGAAAAGGCTCCAACGAACCGAGTTTTCGGTGTTTTTTTTCGGTGCAGAGAGGTGCAGAGTACCGGAGATCGAATCTTAATGCCATTTGAATGCCCTCCTGCACTCGCACAATGGACCTTGAAAACCCCCCTTTGGGCCGTGGTATAATGAGAAATGATGAGACGTGGACTCACCAGGGGTCCAGGGGTTCTCACGGCTTCTTAAGGTTCGTCGAAGCAGGGGGGCAATTATAATTACATGTTTGAGGGACGGGGTCTTCGCGGGTGGAAAACGGCTAACCTCAAACTAAGGGAATTTCACTCCATTTCATATGTTAGAAACCCAATGCATACATAACTGTATGTGTGTTTTTCTTTGAGGCTGCGGAACGGCGGAACGTGGAGGTTTCATACCGATGTCTACCGCTTGTTTCCTCTTCGAGAAAACGGCGGAGGAGCGGAACAAGAGGAATGAGGCAATGACGGAGGAAGAGATGAGCGAATGGAACTGGTTCCTCGATGGCACTGCAACACTGTTTGGTTGGCGATTTATCGGAGCTGGGAAGAGGTGCGCCATGGATCCAGCACGTGGGTTCTAACGATGGGTAAAGATGGGTGAAGCACTTACTTGGAGACTAAATGCCAACCCGTTTGAAAGGAACTATATAACTCCTGGTGGGTACCGGGTGTGTTTTCAGCTCGAACCGAGTGCCGCGAAGCGCGTTTGGGTCACGAACAGCGCCAGCAAAGCCTCTGCTACGACCCGTGTCTCGGTCGAGGGCAGGAGCAAACCCAGGAGCGGTATATATAGTGGGTCATCAAAACGGGTCAATCTAGGTCCTAGGTACCCATTATATACCAGCACTCAGGTACAAAACTAAAAACATTATCTAACATGTATTTTTTGGAGGGGGGACTATGTTTTAGTCTCTGGCGGGTAGGTATCAAGAACCTGCTGGAGGTTTTTGGATTTCATCTATGTCCCAAGAAGACCCCCATGGGACTGGAAGATTTGGTCCATCAGGCCAGGGATCTTTCCAGTGCCAGTCCCATGGAAGCTCGCGGATTTATGATCCGTTTTAGATCGTTGAGTCCACTGACCTTCCAACCTGAAGCTCTCCAAAGCTTCACAAGCTGATTGGTCCTCAGAGACTTCCAGGTGTTTGGCATGCAAAAGACTGCCGCATGAGACTCACTCTTTTCGGTTGGTTTTTTCGGTCGAGGTTTAGCTCGGTGCCCTTCAAGCCACTTGGCTGCACATCCTTTGATAGGGCTCCTAGTACCTTCTGAGAAGGAAGTTGGGGTGACTTTGGAGGGTCAAAATCATCGGTTTTGGCCGTCGACTGCTGTTGGATGTGCTACTTCATTAGACGGGCTGTGGAGTTATCATTTGATTCGGAATCCTGTTCTTGCTGAAAGTTGCTTCCTTAGATCCATTCTTGATACTACGTTGCTTTCTTTTCTTGGCTTTTCCGCTACGAAGGGGTTACCTAAACTTTGGACCCAGGTACCTCCGTACTTCGGATGGTCTTGGAGGTGAAAGTATATCTACTATCCAGAGAATGGTCGAACTGGGGCCAATCCTGGACCCTCAATTAGACTATGGAACCACATCTTAGGGCCCAACCAGGCATGATGTTGCGGACTTCTGGATCGCCCAACAAGGAGCAATCTCCTGAACACCTGCTGCTGGTTGGTCGAAACGGCGCAGCAGGCCCTGGCGTTTTCGCGTCGTGGTTTCATGACTTTGCAAAGTGCTCCAGTGATACATTCCCATGGCTTAACTATTGTATTACAGGGGGGGTGTACACCTGCAACATTACTATACACAATTACTGTACAGTATTATATAGCTGTTCAAAGTGTTTTGTTATGTTTTGTAGGTTTGGTTGGCTCAACATCAATGCGTCAAATGTAGTTCATCGTTTGTTTGTTCTTAAAACGTGGGTGATGGGTATTTTTCCCGGCGGAGACTCTATATGATCTGTGAGGCAAATCAACTCGATGTTTCCCCAATGCATCGGAGAAAGCTCCGAGAAAGCCGAGTCTGCAGCCAGGTCTCAGTGATCTTTGTGAACTACAAGGGTGCCTTGGCAAATTCCTGTCTTTTCTTCAAACAAGCACGGCTGGTTTGACCAGCTCATAAACGTTGTTTAGCTGTGAAACATGGCGACATTGTTCTATAGAGTCCAGGCTCGAGGCATCGAGGTCAAAGGCAGCTACACCACTCTTTGGAACCAACGCAACCAACCAGTCGATCGCGGCTGGCGCGTGGAACGCAAGACTCGAGGAACTCGACGTTCATCTCAGGACGACCCTGGATGAAAGGCCTCCTGGAAAACCAGCCGTGCCCTGGCGGAAAGATTCACGTACTCAGGGACTATCAACATGCACAAGTCAAGTTCTTCAAATGTTTCATGGCTGCTTCGTTTTGATGAAGATGAGGTCTTGAAGTCATTTGAGAATTGGTTTCACGGATTCCCATTACTATGGACCTCATGTTCATTTCATTTCTTGCTAATTACTGGGCCCTGACCGGACCAACTTGCTTCTATGGAGCTATGACGCTCCTCAAGATCCAAGGTCTTCAAATCCCCACACGTGGGCCAAATCGCGGCGCGAGAACAGATCCGAGGCTTTTCCTCTCCCTCTTCGTGTGCATCGGCATGGTGCCTTGACAAAGATGTCCCCAGCGAGATTCCTGAGCTGGTCGCAAGTGCCTCACTATAGCCACCTTTTTTAGCTAGGAGCCCTGAAGAACACCGGAGCTTCAAAAGATGAACTAAGTTGGAAACGAAGTTGCAAGGATATCAGCAAGAAACTCTACCGATGTCATCAGGACCAGCCAATCATTAATATACCAGCATCCGGCGCAGACCAGGTCTTCGGTGGCTTGGCAGGTGGCTCAACCTGTTGGATGGTGCTGGTATATGAAGCCTGAAGCTTGAGCTCTCTACCAAGAGGGGTTCAGCGACCCTATGGGACCCGTAACCTGGGGTACCTATGGGATGGTCTATATCAGGGTCCTTCAACCTCTGTTGGTACGCTCAGGTCGCTGTTTGCGCGTGGGGCGTGATACCCTTCTTGAGCCATGGCTGCAGACGCAGATCGCTTGGCTAAAGATGCCGATCGCTTGGATGCGATGGTTTCCCAGTCCAAGCATTTGTTGATGACAGGACCCTCCTGTCGGGGTGCCCTGTCTGGAAGCCGAACGGCCGGTAGTGTGGGGTAGTCCAGCCAGGACAGTCCCATGTGTCGTGTCTGGGACAGCTGGTTGGTTTCCTCTCAGGAACTCGACTCTGAACCTCGAGGTCGTCCCCGAGGAGCTACGGATGAAGGCCGGGAGCTACGGAGTGGTGGAGGACGGTCAACTGGAGACATGTCCAGCCCCCCTCGGATTGAAGAGCCTTGAAACATCGTTAAAATCACCCAAAAGGGATCCAGTCGTATCGATTGGAGACACTGTGTAGCTTTGAAGGTTCCAGTCAGTATCTGAGGTTCTCCGGTTCGGTACGACTGGATCCCCGGTTCGGGTAGAGTCAGCAGGGTTCCCATGGGTTTGGTGCAGGGAACGAACGGTCCGGGTGGCCCGAGGTTGATCCGGCGACCCGAAAAAGGGAGTCCCCAACGAGCTCCCCGAGGAAAGCAGCTGAGCTTGAGAGGTCAAATGAAGACATTCTAAGGAATTTAGTGTGACTTTGGGGTGTGATTTGGTCCCATCTTCGGTGGCAGGTCAATGGGCAAGAGGACGCCTCTCCTTCAAAGATGACTATTTTTAAAGACCATTTCCAAGTTGACGCGTTACCATGCTTCAGTCTATTTGCTGCTTGGCGAGTTCGTACAGGAGAACCTCCCTTCAGGGTCGAGACCAAGTCACTGAGTCAACTGATTGATGGCCATGAGGAGAACCTGTGCTCCTGTGTTTTGGCTGTCCTTTTTGGATTTACACTTGTATTTGTGGCTGGAGTGGTGCATGTGTGGATGGCTGGAGTGGTGCATATGTGTGGGGGACCTGGAGGAGACACCTCAACCACCTGAAGGTTTGAGAGGGTCAACCTCCGCATCAGTAGCAGGTCCAAACCACCCAACCCCCTGAGGCCTTTTTCATCCTACCTGGGTTGGAGGGAACCAGACAGTGACCTGTCCACGCAAATCTTTCTGTGCAGGTTATCTGGACCTTGCTCGCCTCCTTAGTGGGCACCTTCATTTGGGATCGCCTTATGGCCTGGCGCCCTGCGGGCTCTGCGGGCCCTGCGGGTGGGCCGTGGGCTGCGGGGAACACGGGTTGGAGATGGGCGGTCTTTGGGGCGGTTGAAGTGAAGATGTGCTCGTTGGATGTGTCAAAACCCCACATGAACTGGTAAATGCCCAGAGCGGCTTGCCATACACTCCAACTAAAATCAAAAGACAGTGAGTCTAGACTCAACAGATCACTCAAAAACTGCTTGTTTGGGGATCGTCCCACATGTTCAGGTACCAGATGGGCACACAACCTTAACCACTGCGCACTGGCCAAAAAGGAACAACCACAAACGCTTTGAACCCTGCCCTGCAGATCAGCAGACATCACTAGACTCATTCCGGAGGCTTCAAAATACTCAAGCCCCAGCATACTGAGTACATGAAACACCGAGGATTCTAAGCTGTATGTATTCAAGGTGGTGAAGATATATTTAATCTCAGCACTCACCTCCACTTTGCCCTTTGCCGAACGCACCTGCCTCGCGGGCCGCTCCCAGAATCAAGCCGCTGCCGCGCAAGAGGCGCGGCGCGGCCACGTGCCCGTCGGGCCGACTTAGTCGCTTCCGGCTGGGCATGTCGAAACAGGACTTCAACGGGACGGTCGATCGCGGACTTGGTGGGGCTGAGGATCCAAACCATGGGTGAGCTGGCGCTTGCGCACCAAAGAAAAGGGTGTTTGAAGAACATGGCAGTACATGAGTTGATTGTGACCTGGGTGGATGTGTTTCGGTGGAATGCTGAGCCGCTGCTGCTTGAGCAGCCTGAGATGTGCAAGGTGCCCTAGGTTCCTAAAACCGTGGCGCGTCAGAGGACGTCAACAAAAGCGCCAACAGGCCAACAGAAGTGTGGGCAATAGTTGTCCAACAGTTGATGCCCCAAACACACTTCTGGATACTTCTGGGTTGTGGGTAAACCCGGTAAACCTTGGGTTTTACCTACCACCCACAAACTTGTGCAGTATTGCAATCCTAATCAAAGGGATTGTCCGGGCAAAATTTCAATCGTTGTTCCGAAACGAAGCTCCTTCGCCGCAGTGATCGGTGCACCCGGTCTCCGGCCGTCCAAGTGCCCGGGGCCTCGGCGCTCCGCGCGCGCAGGACGTCTCGGTCGTCTCGCTGCAAGAATTTCAGAGCCTTGGTGATTTGGGGAGGTGTTGACACACACACACACACCAACAGAGGTTAAGTGACCTTATAGGACCCTGCAGGGGTTTCTATAAGATAGTCTATAGGATTCTTCAACCTCTGCCGGCAGGCTCAGGCTTGCTGCTTCGGAGGGTTTGCTCAAACCACCGTCCCCAGTGATTTCATGTGGCTTGCTGCTGTCTCCACGCGGCGACCCACCGGGGAGCCACCCGGTCGGACCCGGCCCGGAGTGACGCACCTGGAGCCCTAGACTCGTACCTCAGTATGAGAAGTGGGCACGTTAGCCCAGGACGTCCCTGGATGATGAAACAAGTTACAATACACGCAGGAAATCCAAATTTTTCTGCGAAGTTGGGTTGACACTTAAGAACTTCCCTGCAAATTCCACATCGAAACCTGCTGGTAGAGCTACCTCCTGGTGGAGGAAGTCACTGAGGAAGTCCTGTTTCACACAGCAAGATGGAGTTCTGCAACAATTGTGGTATGTATTGGCCGAATCAGCTTGGGTCTGATTTCAATCTATGGATGTTTTTCAGGGTCCATGAGTGAATCTTCTTCCTCTTGTGATTGTTTTTGTCCCCAAGACCCTTGAGCCTAATTGCCTTCGAAGGACCAGCTCCAGTGGTTTCAGAGGTTCCAAGATGCCTTTGTATAGGGGTCGATACAAACCGGGGAATTTGGCCATCTAGATGGTGGAACCATCAAAGTACCTTAGAAAATGGGACATGACTCCATGACCCTATAGAAAACTGGTACAAAGGTAGACATTTTCTGAAGTGCGAACTGAGACTCCAGGTAGATCTGAAACCATTGTTTGTTTTAAAGAACGGCCAGCACCCGACTTTGTTCTTCGTCTTCTCTGGTGGCTTTTGGTGAAAAAGTGGTGCTAGTGGGTGACTTGGCAGTGAAGGTGCTAGTGGTTGACCTGGTTTGGTGTAAAATCCTTAAGTACAACCATGCCCTAGGGATCCTGTCGTACCTTCTCAGGTACGGTGTTTGGAGACACTGTGATGTAGGTGCCAGGAGGCTCCAGTCGTACCGAACCTGAGGTTCGGTACGACTGGATCCCTAGGGATAGTATTTCGCCAATTAACTCACGTGGCGCTTCGAGTTGGGTAAATGGATGTGACACATGGGAAAGCAAGCACGGCCCCTACATTGACCCCTCCAAGTTTCGTGACAAGGAGCCGTTCGAGCCCCGTTCTTGGCGCGCCGGGATCAAGGAGAGCCACCTCTGAGATCTCGCATTTGGATCGAAACCATGTGAATGCACCCAGTGACCTGGCGCTCGAAGGGCTGGAAAATAGATTGGGTGGAATGTTCCATAGAGCTTCCACTTGTGCAAACATGTTTGCCGACCTAAGCTGATCGGTCAAAAGGCCGATAGTTGGAAGATCCAGGTATAGTTTTGTAACTCTGAAGCGGAGTTCGGGGTTTGGGGGGAAGTCCGTGTCTTGAAGATTGGGATGTGATAGGGGTTAGGGGGTGATGTAGTGTACCCTGCAGGTCAAGGACCTATATATAACTGGAGTTGGTCATGCACAAGCACTACGGGACTTGTAGGGGTAGTGTTTGGTTCTTTGCTGACGGGTTTCTCAAGAACTACCTGGTTACCTGGCGCCCTGTTGTGCCATCAAAGCAACCTGGTGGGGAAATTTTGAAGGGTGGTTCAAGGTACACTCCCTTCCTTCACCAATCATGGAAGTGGAAAATATTGGAAAATGATGGAAAATGGCCCGTCGGAGACACTTGTCCTCTACAAACAGGTGGTTTGCCACTTCCATGTTAGTGTTTTGGAGTGTAGCGGCTACAGTTCCTCCTCTCTTGGGACCTCTCTGACCTCCCTTGTGACCTTGTAACCCCCCCCTAGGCTCCCTCTGGACTTGACTCCCTGGAGCCGCTGGTTGGCTTCAAACCACAGACAGTCCAGCACACCCCTAAGTGTAGCCCACAACATTTGGAGGAAATCGGGTCCAGCATCAGTCTGCTCACAGGGGAATTGGAAACCCGAGGCGAAAGAGTTCCATTTCATATGTGGGTGGTTTCAGGGAGATTTAGATGCAGTTCTTTCATATAGATGGAGCACATGGCAACAAATTCATATTTCCAAACCACCCTAGCAGTTTCCTCAGGGTATGCGTTTCAGTTAAGTTGAAGGTATTAAAACACAAAGGGCAACCCACCAAACGCTCAGTTGAAACAGCCTAGCCACCCGCAACCCTGAAGTGAAACCATCATGCAGACCTACTATATATTGGTGTGTGAAAAGACTGAGACCGCCCTCCCTCGACCCCCCTAGACTGGTCGGTTCGGAACATAGACCAGTCTACCCAGTCAGGGCCTTGTGCCTCACATCGGTCCGAGTGTGACAACAGGGGACCCTGCTTGACCAGTGGCGAGCGGAGCGGAGGTCAACAGAGGAGTGCAGAGAGGTGCTCCGTGTGCTACCAATGCCCACACCTTGGTGTGGGGAGAGTGTCAGTGAGCAATCACCTGATACCCAATGACCCAAGACTATGAAAAGCTCCGAGGCGATGAAAAGCCGGCCGGCCTTGCTGCAGCGCCCAGCTTCATTGATCAGCAGGAGATTGGTGTCATCAACCAGTCCCAGCACCTTGGCTAGCATGGATGGGCACAACTTTAACCAGTTATATACTTTACTTTGAGTGATCCCCACCCTGAAAGACGATTTGGAAGAAGGGAGGTCCCGGCACATGTATTGACAGACTAGCCTGACAAAGGTGGACATGTTGGATGGGAACCAAAAACAACCAACCTGCAGTGTCAGATATATATACTGGGTGTGAACGCTATGTTTATGCAATATATACGCTTGTGATATATGATATAATGGATTCAAGAGACCTACTGCATTACCATTGATGGACAAGGGGCTCAAAGCATTCAACAAGTGCACGCTTGTGAGTAACACGGCATGAAAAGAGCATGTTTATAAATATATATATATATATAATTATATATATATATACACCTGCCAGGTCCCTCCAACAGGCCACAGGTGATCTTTTGTCCCTGACATGGTGTTTTTTTGGCACCTGTTTTCGGAAAACCGTGTTGGATGG